TTATGGTTTCCTCTGCTGTTGCCTTCACACAATCTTTTGTTTCTCCCAGGTTGAAAAGAATGAGAGAAGGGAAAAAAGCCACGGTTGTGTTTCCAGGCAGGAAAGTTGGAAGTTCTTTGTTTGGAGCAAGGTTGCGGGTGCAGCACACTGTTTAGCTTGGTGACCCTGTGACTGTCTTCTGAGGAATTGTGTGAGCAGCCCTGCAGAAAATGCTGCAGGCTAAGCTTTCATCTTAGCAGTAACCTGTGGACTTTGAAACTCAGGGCGATGGAATTGCAGCTTTGTCAGTACACTACTAATTAGAAAATTCCTGACCTCAAGCAAGATGTTTTAATTATGTGTTGTGTCAACGAGTTTGCAGATTTAATCCACCGTTGATACACACAAGTGTGCACACTGTGTCGCACATTGTAGTACCTCAAGTGGAATGTCTCATGTCTCAGCCCATATAACCTTGTGCTGCTCTGGTACCCTGCTTGTTAAGAGCCATCACATGCTTAAGAAGCCAAATTAGACATGCACTTAATGTGTTGGCTTGTACATTGTGACAGTATTGTGTCGAGTGTGAGCTCTCTGTTGCAGTGAGTCAGTGAGAGAGAAGCCAGGAAGGGGTTAAACAGAAATTGAGCGGGGATGCTGGGGGCAGCAGTGCTGCAGAACATAGCAGTGTTCGTGCGAAGGCAAGTCATTTCCCGAAACACTGCAGACACATGGCCTGCGGCGCTCTAAAACCTTTGGAGACCAAAATGGCTTGCAGGAGTTAGAAGTAATAAGGTGTTTTTTTGCCTTCTTTCTCCTTGACTGAAATTCTGCACGGTTGCTATGCATCGCCATGGAGCTGTGTAGCTGTTTTTATGTTTTATGTGGGCATTAAGATACTTCGCAACTGGCCATTTTTGAGATTTGCTGTTCTTTAGTTGTGAAGCAAATGGAAGTTGTTTCTATTGAAAGTAATTCTCTCATTTTTCATTATGATCCAAGTGTCAGAGTTGACTTTATCCATATTGTATTTCCTCTTAGAAAATGCAATAACAAAACCTGAGGAGCACATATGAGAGAAGGTACATGGTTTCTGCTTGAGAGCTTGTAAGAGCCCAAATCACCACCAGGTCAGGTGTGGAACCTGTGACAGGAACAAAGGCTCTGTGTTGGCTGGATGTTAATCTGTGGTATTAGTCCATCCTGACCTCTTTGATTATCACAGTACAGAGCCAAAAGCCCTTTCATCCTTTCTCCTGGTTTTGTTAATCTTGGCTTACTTGTCTGCTTCAAAGGAAGCCTCGGCATATAATCTGGCTACGTACATCTGTGAATTATTATTCTAATTCTTTATACGTTTATTAGAGCTGAATAAACTCCACATCAAATACATCACTCGGGCAATGTCAGAAAGCCCGGGGCACATCAGCCGACATCTGTTAACTCTTTCAAAATGGCCTCATCCAGCATGTCTGTGGGCGTAGAAGAGCGAGGGAGCATGGAGGCGAGAGAGAAAGGCTCTGGTGCTGATTAATGGCGGCCGTAGAAGAGGCATTTGAGGCCGAGTGCGGAGCTGAAGCGGCCTGCACTCCCACGGCCCGGCCCGGCACTGCTGTAAACACTGTGCAGGGACAAGGCAGCGTTCCCCAGATCAAATGCGGCGTGGAGCACAACATGTGGGAAAGTTTTGCTGCCTGGCACACAGTCAGTCAACCAACCAGTCTTTCTTCCAATAGATTAGTGATGCAGTCTGCTAGATTTCAGGCCTACCAGGTCTTCTTTTACCAAGTATCCTAAATTATGCTGCAGGTCGTGCTCTGCTGTAAAATACTAAATACAACAAAATTTACTGGACATGCACCAGTACTCCAAGCATAAAGACATGATTAATTAATAATACTTACCAATTTGAGCTTCTTTTGACCTTAATACACCTAATATTTTATTGTTTAGCAATTAAGCTGCCTGTCTCCATTGTGCTATATAGTGTACTATGCCCTGAGCCAAGATATTATAGTTTAGAGACAACATCAGATTTAACAAAAAGAGTTTGGAAATGTTGCATCATAACCAGCTTATGTGTTTCAAATAAACATAAGGGTATTATTTATCCTTCAGCTTCTCTGTTCACTTCTCTTAACATGACAGTGTGTTAAACTTGTTCCATATCAGTATAGGCGTGCTGGTTAGTGTGCAGTTGGAGCTGTGGGGAGGACAGTGCTGAGACAGCAGCTTGTGCCGAGTGGCGCACTGCTCCATGAGCCTGGCAAAGTGGGCCATTAACCTGGCGCCTTGGGCTGTGACCTGGGCCAAGTCCAATATTGGCCCGAGCATCAAGGCACAGGTGCCACTCAGAGTTCAAAGCCACGTATCAGCAAGAAAACCCCACTTTGACTCCCCCTGAAAGAGTTCTTTGAATTGTCTTTACAATATTATTTACTCTTTATAGTTTCATGTTACAGCAAGCATATGAGTCTGTGTTGATTGTGGGTTGATTCAGAAAACAACCTGAAAGAGGACTTGAAAAAAGACTTTTCCTGGTGTTGTGACTATATCAACTTTTTTAGAAGGAATGCAGGAATCTTGAAATGGCCTGAATATGTGCGCCTGTGCTTTGTGTCCCTCACTCCAGTCAAATGTCTGAGGAGATGTATCAAAGTATCCGTATGCTCGCCGTACGATGGATATGTCATATGACATAATGCCTCGCAGCAGCCATCACACATAAAATGACAGATGCTGTTTTTTGCCTCATGGATCTTTCCTGGCTGGGCTGATTTCTGAGTTCGGTTCTTTGGTCTCCACTTCTTTTCATGACCTCCCAAATCCTTTCATTTCCCTCTTAATTACATTTAGGCCCCATTATTGTGTAATGGCTGGTGACAGTAAAAGCGTGGCCCCTGATGTCTTGTGCTTAAACTGGCACACTGCCATCAGCTTTGTTAAGTCTTGGTGTTTCCACCCTCACCACGTGTCCTCTTTTACAACATGATTATCTTCATGTAGTGGCTCAGGAGAAACCACTCCATAGATACCAGTAACAACATAGTCTGAGTCACAGGCATACACTGGTGTCTGTGGTACAAGTGAAGAGAAGCCTTCTGCAGAAGTAACCTTTCTGCTTGTATGTGGATCACTGAAGGCTGTTCTACCCCTAAAGAGAACAAAGCATCCTGAGAGTGGTGGTACCTGGACAAGCTCCAAGTTTCCAGCCAGCAGACACTTGATAACTTCCATTTAGGTGGATAGATAATGCTTGTGAAAGGCACTTATGTCATTGTCCAGATCCTTGTTCCACATGTGGTCAGTGGTTATTGACCTCAGTTGTTTAATATTGCTTTCAAACCTGGCGTACTGTCTCTGGATACTTTAGAGTAATCTGCGCCAAATGAAACAGCCAAAGACATGGATGCAGGCTGGCATAGCAGTGGCCTGGCTACCTTCACTCATCGACTGTAGGCTAGCAAGTATACATACAGATATTATAGACAAGAACCAGCCTCTGAGGCATACTTTGGTTTGCCTCTTGTAAATTCATACCCGTCATATGTTTGCAATTAAGGCCTGTCTGTACTGTGTGTTTACAAAGCGCTGCAATCAGTGTAATTGTGAGAGGGTGTTCCTGGCCTGAACATCAGACCTGCCTCTTGCTGCTTGGTTCAAGTGGGCACTCGCTGGATCTGTTTCAGGGTTTCTCATTTTCAGTGTAAACAGATTTGTATCATCCTCTCACTGTACTTGCTTTATTCACATTGGGGACATAGGTTAGGTTTGCCAGTATTGTTTTGGTTTTGTTATAATTTGTTATAATTTCAGCCAATGTAAATGTAAAGAGTTGGAAGTACAGTGTATTATATTAATCTAAAGCAAATTATCTAAATGAGAGGTGAGATGAGAGGTCAGATTTTTTCTTGAAACAGATGTTTGAAAAATGTCATTAGGGGTGTTGTCATTTACTCAATTAGTCCTTTAAATTGTTGATGTGTGTGTCTTTGTCAACTACAATTTCTATTAGTGCCTCATTATTTTATTTAGATCATAGGGATTTTTACAGGACAACTGCAGAAATTAGTGAGAGTTGATCTTTTCATGGCTTTTATATGTAAAAAGATAGATCAAACCCATGATTGATAAGTTTATATATATATATATATATATATATATATATATATATATATATATACACACACACACACACACACACACACACACACACACACACACACACACACGCACACACACACACACAAATACATTGTACATACATTCCTAGAACTTTTCTCTGCATAAATAGTTGTTTTTGCATGAACTGCTGTGCATTTGTAGTTGTGTTAGTGCAGTTTGGGCAGACACATAGAAACCTAACAGTTTTCAGGGCTCACAACCCATTAGGGGGCATGGGTAACTGGAACCCACCCCAGTAAGGGCCAGTGTTGGACTTTAATCCACATATGCTCTTTGAGCAACAGAGTTTCTCTTATACCCATCTCCTTCATGATTGTTGGTTAAAGCCTGAATATCTTTATATGATTAATATGATTAACTGAGATTCAGGAGCAGGACCACACCTCAACTGCCCTCTCCTCCTCATCAGCGAACCACAACTCACTTCGACCACACCCCTAATTTCCCAGAAGCCTTGTAGCACCCTTTCCCATCATCCCAGTTCGTCTCGGCTAACTCGATCCCACCCTCCCACGCCCTATCTTGTCCGCCTTTCAGCCATAAGACGCCTACGAGGGGGGTCCCGTTCCGGCTGGCCCAATTGAAGATTGAGACGAAGCCCCCACCCAGAGTCTCAACCCAGCCATCTCTGCCCCGCCTCATACATTATCAATAAACTTATTCTTCTTTGCACGATGTCGTTATTGATGTGGTCCTTGCTAGTGAAGATGAGTTTAGTAGGGAGAATTTACCCATAAAGTTCGTGTCAACCACTCAAGATATACCTTTGTTGAGTTAAGGTTTGTTATTTATTCAGAAATGGTACATGCTGACTCTAACCTGTCATTCTCTTACAGGTTGCTGGTAGTATGGCCAGTTCTCCAGCAGGCTCTTCAGCCCCTTCCTCCTCCTCACGCCAATACACACGCCAGCGCATAACTCGGGTCAACCTCAGGGACTTAATCTTCTACATGGAGCAAGAGAGAGACATGGCCCACTCAGTGCTGCTGTACCGGGCTTTGCTCAAGTAGCAAACAACCTCCTCCTCCTGCCACGTGCCTTCAGATCAGGTCCAGCGTTTCAGCTCTGTATTTTCTCTTTCCTCTAGTGATGTCTGTTGTCATTTTAAAACAAAAATAAGAAACATAAGAAAACATTTTCTTATCACATCTTTTTGTATCATGTTCATGCATGTGGTATGTTTGCTTTACATATGTTTCACATTTGATGGTAGCTGTTTGTTAAACATTGTTAGCAGTATCTTTGATAAACCACCTCAATGAATAGATTATTTTGTGGTAACCTCAATATTCAGTTTGAGCTATTAGTTCAAAGAATGTAATAGCTGAACACTATACGAGATTACTATATGTTGTAGATTCCACATCACAGCATCCACTTCGATCCTGTACTGTATGTGTAAATATCTGGATTATTTTACAGCATGTATATTTTACTACGCTTTGTAAACAACTAAAAAGAAGAATCCATATGTCAGTGTTATATATGTTTTAAAACAGATGAAAATTATTATTACTTTTTTTTTTTTATCAATGGAGTGTGTTCCAATGCAGACCCTCTGAAGGTCACATGACCACAGTAAGTTTCCAATAGGTCACCACAGATTCTACACTGATGTAAAAATAGTAGTACTGACTTGATGTTGTGTCCTTGAATGTTGGTTTTAGCATGACCAGAATTTTTGGCAGAGGGACGAATCTGAATAAAACTTATACTTAAAATTCAATTTCACTAAAGGAATTCCTATGAGCCTCCAAACTCTGCAACAAACTGAAGCTCAAAGGTGTCTGCAGAAGCACTTAGTTCACCTCCATTATGTCTTACTGCATTCACATTTGAAATAGCAGTCAAATCATTCCATTTCTTTACCTTTTATCTTTTTAATTGTATGATTTTTAATACATTTCATTGTTTGTTGCCGTTTTAATCATGTATTATGCACCATTGTCATTTATGTTTTTTTATATATTATTTAAATATTGAACTCTATGCAGCTTGTATTCTTGTAATTACAAAAAAAAATATGAATTTAAAATTCTGACCGCACTTTTTATTACCTTTTGCCTGACAACTAAAAGTTGTCCCTGTATTTTAGGAAAAAAAAAACGAACAACTTTTAATTAGTAAACATTGTTGCCAATTGTCTGCTTTTTTAACAATAATATATTTAATTTTTCTTTTTGAATTGGCTTTTATGCGTGACACATTTTGGTAAAAATGAGCTCTATGTTTACTGACAAGCACAACTCACTGGTGGAGAGTCCAACAGTTTCTGTGGTTTCAGGCGCTTTCACAAGTGAACATTTCTACAGCTTTTTAGCCAAAAGACTAGAACAATATTCCTGATGTACTCACAAAATATCTTTTCAGTTGAGAATGATTTGTAAATATTCTTTACAAAACTATGTGATTATTAGAACCACAGTATTTTTGGTAAACCGTTGTACATATCTTGAAAATGTTCTGTTTGTGTGAAAAACAGTACTTATGTATTTGTACCTATTTTGTAAAGGAATAAATAAGCTGTTTACTAAATGACACTGATCACTGTCTCTGTTTTGTGTATCAAAAATCACAGCTGTAGTAAGATCTAGATTTAATGAAATCTACACAGCCACTTGCTCTTTTCATTACCAGGAAAAATAAGCTGTTCTGCCTTTTCTAGACAATTTTACCAAAGTCAACTTCTAATGCGGCCTGCTTCATTTCCATTTCTAACACTGCACACGCTAAGTACAAACTCGGTCGAGCACCGCTGCTCAATGATGAAAAGTCCCTCTAGGTTTCTGCTGCTAATTAAGCAGGAACATTTTTGAAAAGACTAAACCATTTAACTTGGTGCAAAAATATTGGGCTTTGGGAGCATATTGGTTTTCTAACACCAATGGCCTCTTCCTTAATCCCTCCAGAGGTCTAGACAGGCCATCTTTCCCCAGACACTGGATCAGCATATGTACAGTACATCTTTTTATTATCTCAAATAAGCAAGAAAAGTCCAATGGTGACACTGTAAATGACCACATGCCCTGTAATACCACAGTCTAAATGGATGACACTTTTTTTTTTTTTAAATAATATACATCTGAACCTTAGTATACCCTTTTTAAGTTCATATGTACACAATGGAAGTATTTTTGTCCTGTATTTTCAGTGAGACAAACATGTCTCTTGAAAAAAGCCCAGAGTAATGCTTCTTACACAATAACTGTACAAACAAACCTCCTGACCGGTATACAATAGTGTGCCTTGTAGTGATGGTGGCCCACTTTGTCGTAAAGTTGGTTACAGTTTGAATTTAACTTGTTGTTTGTCCTGATGCAGAGCTCTCCAATGCGCTGTGTTGCATGTGTGTTTGAAATCCAGAGCATGGCCATGACAGAGCAGCAGGGGGTAGCACAGACCCAAGTTTTCTAGTGGCACAAGAGGGGGAGCCCTGGGGAAGAACGCAGGGGGCAGAGCAGTGCTGTGAAGAGGCTCACATGAAAAGGGCCCTGGTTGGTTGACCATTCCCTTTGAGGCGAGTGGATGGAAAAGCCCAGGCCACCGGCAGGTCAGAACAAACACACACTTGATTGTGAGTGCCAGAGTAGGCTGCAGGCAGAAGCTGACATGGGGCTAGGAGCAACATTAATCCCCTCTACACACTCTTTAATCAGCAGGCCATCTGTATTGACCAAACACTGAAGTCAGTTTTTAATAAACATATTTGCACTTTGTTGGAATAACAACTCAAACAACAGTTTGCAACTACAAAAGATCTAAACATTTTTTGGAATGCAGAAAAACTTGCAAATAAATAGCAAGGAAAAAAACTTGGTCTTTCGTGTTGCTCTCTTTGATCCAGAAATGTTGAGAATAAGACCAAAAGAACAGGACAGAGTAAACGCCGCCCACTCGCCTCGATGTGGAGAACACTGATGCTGAGTACAGTTCACTTAAGAGCTACCAAATATACACGAGATCATCAAGGCTTACAAGTGACAGACACTCTATCTGATTTAGACCTGCACTGTGAAATAACTGGAACAACTGCTAATGCCCTTTGTCTAAATGGTATTTTTGTTTTGTGGTATTAGTATTAATAATGAGACTGCTGTGATGCAGATAGAGAATACAGCAAGATTGCATTCTCCCGTTGTATCCCTCCCATTGCCTGTATGAGTATTGCAGTGTTTGGACAGGGTATCATCTGTAATTGATCAGTCGGGTTAAACAAGTCAGTTAGGGTTGGGTAACTCCAATGTTACGTGCAAATAATATATATTTTTTATAATTTTATAGTACATCTCTTATTGGCAAAGACATACTTTTCGAGACCTCAACATTCAAACTCAACTGCAATTCTTTTCAGTTTGTGCAATCAACCCAGCCTGGATGAATCCTTAAGAGATATGTTTTAGCATAGGTTTTCAAATTACAAAGCACTTTTTTTTTAAATGTGTGCCATACATTTGAGTATAAACATCGTTGAAACTCCCAGGTTCTGTTCCATGCAGCGTTTGAACAATGAGACTTTTTCCGGCTCGGAATGCACAGCCAGCCAGATCGCTTTAGCCACATAGCCTGCGGCCATCTTGAGTTTGTGCAGCTACTGCCAAGAAATGCTCTCAACAAGCTCTCCAAACGCCTAATGAATACAGCATTCATACATCCTTCATATTTGAGAAAAAGAGACATTTAAAATAATCCTATTAATAATAATTGTTTACACCATGTCATGATAGGAACAACAGAAACAACAAAGGAAAAAAAACAGTACTAAACAATCATTTTGGCGAACAGTGCTGTTGTTTGAGGCCCCTACAGAACAATGGGGCCAATGGGGACAATGGGGTGTATGGACAAAGGTAGGGGAACTTATAGTCATAGTCCCAGACCAGGCTACACATGTCCCCAAAAGAATAAATCTTCCCCAAAATTACCACAAATAAAACAAGCGGAGCAGAGTTCAAATAGTCCCAGATTCTTTGGGCGTTGTTTAAAATATTCAAAAACGTGTGTTGCTGATGCATGTTTTTTTCTTTGTTTGGTACTACATTCCCCTTAAGTGTTCTGCAGAGCTGGCAAAGGTGCACATGCCTCTGCTATTTATAAGAGTTATACCTATAGCTGTCCAGTGCAGTAGTTTTTGTATTAGAGAAGGGGCAGTGGAGTTGTGGTGATCCCGTGGAGGTGTGGAGGGGACAAGGGACTGAGAAGGTGGGTAATGGGGTAACTTTGAAGTTCATCTCTACACTGGGGACTTAGTCCAGAGGTTCTTGTTTTATTCTGATGGGAGTGTTGATGCACAGACTTCGCCGATCCTCGCGACACAGAACGTACTCGCTGAACTGGGATGAGTCCACTCCACCACCGCACGATGCAGCCACACTAAAGCCCTTCTGGAAGAGACGCTCCAGCACCTACACAAGAGACAGACAGAAACAAAGGGGAGATAAGAAAACAGAAATATTTCTTATTTAAGCACTCACAAAATTGGATGAAATTGAATTTGGTACCAAATATTTTACAATACTGAAGCCTTTAATTGTCTGTAATTTGTTGTAAGACAGTGCAATTACTCAAATTCAGTTAATTAATTTCAGTAATTTCTAATCGCCAATGATATGCTTGGATTTTTTAGTGAGGTCTACAGCCAATCTCTGGACCTCAAGTATGTTTATTTTTTGGCAAAGCCCAGCCCAGCCTCAATTTGTTGTCAGATCTATTGTCCTTTAAAGTTACCATTTGTAATTAGATTGGGCAACCCGCCCCTGTTGTATTCTCACATAACACCAGCTTGAGCATGAACAAAGGTCAGGTGAGGAGAGGGGGCAGGTTTCACATCAGCCATCTACTGGCAAAATAAAATCTTTCTTTACAGGACTAATCAAGTTTTCTGTTTCTCATTCTTATTCAGATAATATGTGTTGTAAATGATCAATTATACAGTATTTTTACTTTTTGCTACAGAGTTGCAGTAAAGCCTGAATAATTCAAACAATTTCACATTCACTTACAGTGACTGAGATTGTTATGTTAAATGCAATAACAAACCAACTGCATACAAAAAAAATAAATAAAAAATTCAGCCTTTAGTCTGCATCATGTAATACCAATGGAACCTGCTCAGCATCCTCCTATCACACATAGGACTTGTCTAAAACACACAGTGCACTTTGACATCACAACATCTCTGTAATATTCATTCTACTTGTGAATCCAACCTGCGGCACGAGCTGAAAGGAAAGAGAAGAGGCGGCTGGGCACGTCGAGGTAAAGGGTCTGCCCTGCGTAGTGATTACTGGAGCTCCTAATTTGCGTAATGAGGAGTGCTGAGGTCCACAAGTGATGACGACGTGTAAGGAATAACGAGAGGGAATAAGGACATAGGAGACTGATAGCCCCTAGTACGCCATGTGGATTCACTTTGAGATACTTGAACTCTGCATCAGTTTATCTTCTGTTAAAATTTTGTTTTTGTTGAGGGTATATCTAACTAAATCCTGCAGCAGTGTATTTACTTATTCCCACATCCTTTTAATGGAGTGTGCAATACATAAAAGTGAGAGGTCTAGCTGAGGGCAAAACCCTTCTTCCAAATGCGTGTCTCAAAAAGTTCACACAAAATAGATTACTTTAGACACTGCAAAAAGTATACATTTGTGAGCATTGAATCATAGCTTAAAAAAAATAAACATAATGAAATGCACTCTGCTCACACACACACACACACACACACTCTCACCCACTTGTTGAAGCAATCGGAAAGCGAACATTTCCTAATTAAAGCACAAATGTGGGTTGACATGCTGCTAGAACGGACCACTTGCTGCAAAAAATTAAAATAAAAAGTTTAAACGCCCACTTTTATTGTCCTTGGGCCATACGGCGCTGACAAACTTGGTAATGTGTGAGACAGAAGGGGCGGCCAGACAGCTGATGGTGCGGACGCCTAATTAAGAGACCTGCCCAAGCATCAAACACTCTCCCCAAATCCATGACAGATGACAGAGGAGTCTAACGATTATGGAAATGATATTACATAGGCTGCTTTGATCATTGCATCACATTGCATATTTTTTTTAACCCCCCGATCATCTCATGTGGGACTCGCTTGCAAAGATATTGGTCACAGAGGAGAATGGCCCGATCAATAAAGATACAGAATACTTTTATCACTTAATGGCAAAGAAGGCTTGCGGGTATTATTTTAGATAGTTTTGGGATATTTTAATGACTGTATGAGGCCAAACTGTGAATGAAAGCGCCGTAGGGGGATAAACAAAATAATTAAGATGGGGTTTAAAAGACCACGGGACAATGCCCTGAAATCTATCCCAGATGATGACATACAGAGCTTTTCCTGGTTGGTTTGGTTCAACAGTGTGCACCGCAGGCCTTCAGATCCAAGCTTATGTTGTACTTCTCTGCTTATTTTCCTGACCAACTTGAGCGAAACCATAACAAACTACAAGGGAAGCAGAAAGTCGCATGCAAGCAAGCAACCTACCCGTAAGAAGTTTTTTGTTCTTTTTTCAAACAAGGGGATTTGTGTGAAATGGAATTACAGCTTGTTAGCATTCACGTCTTCTAACTGTACATGTCTCCTGCATATATTTTTGTGCCCACAGACTGTTTGGAGATGTTTTATGAGAGATGGGATTTATGGCTTTCTAAACACAAAGAAATCTTAGTAACAAAGACAAGTTACTGAACCAAAAAATGACACGATTCAAAGCAACTGCCCTTTTGAACTTTGCATAATTTTTCAATCATCTTTAAAAATAACAACTGTTTCTTACTTATGTCACATACATATTTATGCAGACAAACGTTCAAATGTATTAACTAGAGACAATTTCAAAAGTTCAGGTCATAAATTTCAATGCGTGTTAAACTAGTTGCTTTCTGTTAGTTATGCACTAATTTTATATTTCCATTAGAAAAAAACTGTATTTATATAGCGCCATTAGTAATGCAAACAATGGTAGCAGAAACATATCCTTACTAATTTCACTGAAATATCTCTACTACTACTACTACTACTACCACTACTACTTCAAAATAATCAACTAAACTTGTACCCATGATGTGACATTAAAAGATATTTCACACCCTAATGTTTTACTGATAATATATTCTGTCCCGAGATGGAGTTGAACAATCTTGCCTCTGGCTTTCAAAACACAAAATATAGAACACAAAGTCAAGATTGAGCCCTGAACTTTGCCTGTGACTAAAGCCATTTGAATAACAGCCCTGTCTCCGTGCACCATCCCTCCTGACTGTAACAGATCAGGATCACTCTCATGTATTCTGACTGCGGCTACACTGGGATCAGCCCTCAGACTCTACACCTTTCATTCACTGAGCTGCCACCCATCAGGAGAATTACCCTGCTTATCCTAGCGCTAGTCACCATAGCATTTAGAGCGGGGAGATGGTGGTGTTGAAATCAAAGTGAATGAGTCTTTAGGCTGTGAACCAGATCTCTATGTATTATTAATGGTCACTGGAGTGCGTGCATTCAGGAGAGGCTAGACATTTGCACCACATTAGTTGACTGACACCAGTGACATGAAATAGTTCTTCCGTCTTTAACTATTTAAACTCTGTAATGTACTATCAAAATGAGCTAACTGTACTCCACAAGTTTTGTTCTTTATTTACAGCTACTATCTGGCATAAAATAGCCAAGATGCTCCCTCTCCAAATGAAGAAATGCCTCTGCCAAATTCTCCACAAAAATGTATTTGGACAATGAGGGTGTAGCTTGGCAGTACAATATACACAAGCTGGCATTAAAAGCTCAACTACATGGATGGACAGGCACATATCAGTTGAGTTCAATTGTATAATAAAATGTAAATAAAATATAAATTCAATACATATCAGTAGTTTAAAATGCTTGTATAAAATGTATTATATTAGGACAATCTTACATTGTATTCCCATTTGGAGGATTAAAATGAATGAACGGTTCGACAAATAATTATTAAGCGTGCCATTTTAATCAGAACTTTGCTTTTTTGATATTAATATTTTATTTATTTGAAATATTGTTATAATATTTGTATGTATGTATGTAGATTAATTGCCGTCATGGTCATGTTTGGTGTGGAAGAAAAACACTTTATCGCTCTATTTCTCTTTTTTCGTTTTGTTACTTTTCAGAGCTTGGCTAATTGTCCAATCCTTTGCATAAAATTAAGAAAACATTTTACATTAATTATTATTACCATTAACTCCTCAAAAGCCCAGTGAGACAAAAACATCCTCGTCCATAGTTACTAGACATTCTTATCACCGAGTACTGGTATCTCTCCTCCGAACACAGTAGCAGTTTGATAGAGTAGCGGTGTGACATAGGAGTCTATTGGGGCGTGTTGTGTGGTGGCGCGGGCACAAGGGGACAGGGGGGTCTTGTCTAACACTGGCTATGCTGTCACTTTGATGAAGGACAGATTGGACCAGGGCTGATCCCAGTGCTTTATCACAGTGATGTATGGAGCGGGAGGATGGGCGCGTGGGCACACCTCTGTGGCTCTTTGGCTAAATGTTTTCCCTGTTAAACTGTGGAGCAACATCACAGAACAGGTGGTTTGTATTATTCGCTAAATTCCATTGAGGGAGAATCACTGGCCAAGGTGGGGTTGTTTATTCGCATTCTTGCACATTTGAATACACAACAAAGACAGTGACATAACATGAAATTAAATAGTTAAGCGTTTTGAAGACAAAATAGTCAGACAATGTGATATCCGAAGTCCACTAGTTGTGTCAGAAAGGGCATCTCTAGAAAACTTATATGCAAATCACAAAAAGGTTTAAAAATAATTTGCTTGTTTATCTTGAGAATTCTCTGTTCACTGGACAGTAAATATAAACTGTGCATTCCTGTTGTTGTGGCTAGTAAACAATAAAAACTGAGTAACATTATCTTATTGTGACCATATTGAGTATCACATGGTTTTGCAGTTTTGCAGCCTGAGGCGAGATAGCAACAGTACCTCCATCCTGATAAGATCACTCCAGACTGCCATAACTTCTTTTTCTATGACACAAACATTTAAAGGTCTTGATAAACAGCTCTATGTCCTGTCAGACCCTAGCCCTCTGTCCCTGTGGGCTGGGTGTGGTGTCTGTTCCCCAGGGTTGGGGTCCAATAATGTAACAAGATCACAGTCTCTTTGTCTGCACAAGGACACAAGGCCAGCACAAGGATTATTTAGCTAACCTTCCCATACCTTCACGCAACAATGAGAGAGGACAGAATGAGTAAGTTGTTTAGAAAAATCTCCCCTTACAGTGAAAAACACCTCCATCTGCTCCGTGTGTCTTCATCTACATCAAGCCAATGAGGCGGGCCATGTCCTGCGCTAGCATATGTGTCTACAGCAGAGGGCGAGTGAGTGTGAGAATAAAGACAGCACTTTGTGCCAGTAAAAGTGACTAAAGGAAACAAGCAGCTCCTATGGATACAGCCACTGTCTTCCTCTGCACTTTACCTCTAAACAGGATTTGATTTTGGCTATTAAAGCTGCACAATAAAAAGTCCTTTCAGTCTGTGTTAGAGTGATGCACTCACATCCAGCAGCAGCTCACTGGTAAACAGAGGGAGAAAATGTTGTGTTAGTTGATGCGGCCAATTAATATTGCAAGTCATTTAAAAATCTATAAAAGAAGTATAAACCGGTTTAGGCTGTTTGAGAAATTGTAAGTATGGTATTAAAAAATGCAATACGTGTATTTCAATTGCCTGAGGCAATGTTATATTGGAGTCTCTTTTTTTAAAGAAGCTGTGTCTTGAAAAGGAGTAAAGCGTAAATTATGCATATCATTTCCCCCTCTTTTCCATTCCTCTTCTTCATTTTTCTCAGGAAAACATGGCCGCAGTCCATGCGAGCTTTGTCCGCCTGTCGGGCTATGCTCTTTGGAGCGGTGTCTGGAGCAGAATGGTGTGGAGGGGGTGGTGGGGGTGAAAGGGGGAGGAGGAGGGTGGAGGTGTCAGAGTCCACATTGGGCCTGAGAGAGAGAGGGTGCTCCGGGGCCAGGCTCGTCTCAGTCCAAGCCTACATGTGGCTGTAGGCTCTGTCTTACTCTGCGCCTGTAGTGTGAGCTTGTTATGTTTCCACTTCTCCCTTTCACACAGCTCTCTAACTTTATATCTCATCTGACTGGGGTGTTGCATTTAGAGTGAATCTCTAAATATACCACCATAGCCCAGAATTGCAAAAGGTAAAATTACCTCACAACTTTGTGATATTCTGTGACATGACTCTTATATAGAATGGAATATGAAATTGACTGAATTTTATCAAATTAGATTATATTATGTAGAAATGTCAAAACAAAGTATTGATTATAGTGAAAGACTCACTTCTCTCAGTACCAGTGACACAGAGCTGTACAGTTGTCAACAGATTCAACACTGGACCAGTAACTAAAGACTGATGCTTGCTCAGCACTGGGCTTTGAATTGTAAATCCCAATGAAAAGACAAAGACTAGAAATATGTACTAGAAATATGTATCCTCAAAACACAAACAAACACACTGTCAATCCAAAGTCAGACAGTAAACACAAGAGGCTATTTATAAACAGTCAGTTACTTTGTGTTAAACCATGGGTTTAAATTCTGCTGACACAGACATGCACACAGATCAGGCAGTGTGGACAGTACCTGCACAGAGTTGAGCCTGCAGTAGCCGTTGAGGGGGAAGCGGATGACGTGCGTGGGGTCCTGGTTCCAGCCAGCGTTCACAGAGTTACACATGACATCTCCGGTCTCAGGGAAGATCTCCTCGATGAGGACCTTCTCTCCACTCAGAGCAATCCTCTCACCCAGGTCGGGCGTGACCCGCACCACCAGGCAGTCACAGGGCTGGGCCATGCGCCGCTGCTCACGCTCCTGCTTCCAACGCTCCAGCTCCTTGATCATGGGTGTGAGCTGGTAGTACCGAGCCTCCTCATACAGCAGGTTGAAGTCCTGCGCACAGACACACATAGGGTCACAACAATGTATTGTACTTGGACTTGTACTCTGGAGGTAGCTAGGTATACTAAGTACATTTATGATGCTGCTAATGGATTGCCTGCAGCGATTAATAATAAAGTGTCCTTGAGCAAGACACTTAACCTTTAATTACTCAGAGGCTGCTGTGCACTTTGCCCTTTGCAGACACACCTGGGTGGTAGCTGCACATGATCTAATATGCTCTAACAGACTTTCTCTCAACTCTATAATGTGATTTTGACCACATATGGCATTTGTGTTAGTACAGGACTAAAATTAGACAGAAAAACAATAAATATGCAATAAGTTGGCCTTTGATCATCAGGACCATTGTGTCCATAAACAAAGCATCTCTATTCTGCTCCCTGTACAAAAGCTGTTGGCAGCGTGGCGTTAGCCTTTAGCATGTCTCAGTGAGCAGGCTCCAAAAGGCTCTGAGTGTAGCTCCAGTGAAGTGGGCCTGTGCATTCCTGTATGCAGTCTGCAGCATTTTCAGCCTCTCCCTCCAGGACATGGCTTGCTCAGGGCAATTTGCCCCTGTGCTCTTGCCTGTAATTTCCCACTAGACCAGATGGCACAATCATTCACTGCTACCATTGAAGAAAAAAAGCCGGTAGAGGTTCTCCATTGGAGGAGGAGAGAGGGTGAGGAAAAGATATGTGCAAGTGAACATGAGGATAATCATGAGCCAAGAGTTTAATGTATTCATTGTATAAAGTGAATGTTATGCTAATGAGGACTGTGTCCCCATGTTAAGCTGCTATTAGAACAAGATTTAATTAGGTTAGGACTAAACAATGAAAAATCTTTTGGCTAAACAATTAGTAATTAATAAATCCCTGCTCTGATAAGTGGCAGAATGAAGCCGCTTCATTCTGACTAATTAGTTTAGACATCAATGTCATTTAGTCTTAAGCTCTTACATTATGAATAAACTTTGATTTTGTGCAATGTAAAAAAAGACCTGCATATTGATATTTTGTGAGCAGATGAAATGCCCTTGAAAAGCTAATTGCTGTGGTGTGTTCACTCTCTGGAAACAACATACGTTTACTACAGTCTTACTGTATATGAATTCTCCAGAGCCTTAGGACTTACTGGACCTCGGTCGGGAATAGAACCAGCAAACAACATCATTAACCCTGCTGCTTCTGTCAGACTCTTCGGCCTCGAAATGTCTTCCTCCTTGCTCATCTGAATGACACTGACTGTAACTCTACATATGGTTTAAATGTTGATGCAACACATCATAAGATGATGGTCCAATATTTAAGCAAAGTGAGTCGTTCTGTTTCTCTCATTCCTGTGGTCCTCTTACACCAGCTGACACTGATAGAGAGACAAGGCGCTTGGGGCTTCTCTCTGTATCAAAGTGCAGCTCCTCATCCTTCACAGGTCCAGAGTCGTGGATGGATATGTTTTTAATAGGGGTCTGACTGCCGGCCATTTTAGTTATTCCGAGCAACACAAGGCTAATGCTAAGAGCGCTAAGGTGATGAGACAGGGCCAGCTCCTCTGTCCTGTCTGCTGCTATGCTCCTATGCACCGCTGCTAGCTTTCACAGACGCTTCACTTCTCCGATCCTGTGTCCAGACAGGGCCGTTTGAGCTTCAAAATAATGATCTGACCTGAGCGCCCACCGGCAAGGCAACATCTCAGAGAAGGACAGACGGGGCACGCACAAAGGCTGAGCCAGAGCTGAGATGAAGAACAAGTAAGTGATGAGATCTGTCACAAGAAACTCCCCAAAAGTCCACTGTGTGTTCTGGCAAAAAAACCCACACATGGAGAGGTTAAATGGAAACTGCACTGTGTCAGTTTGTCTGCTATAGGAAATGAGTGTTTATTTCAAAAGAGAATATATGTTCTAACTCCTACTAAAAATGATTTATGGAAAATAAAACTTTACAAAGATGACTAACCGATATACAAATGTATCAATTATTTATTTGGTCAGGACAGTGCACGTTGGACAATGCATGCATGGTGAGTTAAGTATATTACTCAAAAACACAATGACAGTATGCACTGATCTGAGTGGGATAGTGCTCTAATCACTGAGCCACCTCAGCCCCACACCTGATATTCCCAGCAGTCTCACCTCACTAACCAGGCCTAACCCTGCTTAGCTTCTGAGCTCAAATGAGAATGGATATTCTTATGGTATGGAAACTTAAGGTATCTTGGGACATAGTATTCAGAATGACCCTAGTAAAATTCAATATTTCACAAGCTGCCTTACCCATCCACAACAAGCTCTAAATACCTGCAAAAACAAAGCATTATTGATTTGAGCCAGAATAAACCCACGCGGATGCCGCTAACTCTTTCTCCGCTCTGTAACCGTACCCTCAATACGACTGAGCAATGCTTACAGTCGTGTGATTAATTGTACTTTGAATAATGAGACGAGGAGGGTTATTAATGGTGAATATTTTGTTCCACTCATGTAGGCTGAGTAGAAGTTTTGCATTTTCTATTCTGCTCAGACGTTCACATTGATTTAGCAAAACACACAGCGCTGTGGCAGCCAGCAGCACAACAGAGCCAGCCCTGGGGCGACGGCAGCCCTGATTGTGTTCCAGATAAGGACATGCACTATTCACCATTTGCATTTTTCTCCTTTTGCCTACACGCGAATTGTAAGGTATGCATATCAGCACACAAGCTCATACAGAATGGTCATGATAAGTAGGAACAATGATGCTGTTGCATTTATTCACAGGGGTCGCTCCTGATTGGACTGTCAAGGCGTTATATGGAAGCAAATAAGAAAAGTAATGGTTAGTGATTCACAATATCATTTGCCAAACATGCCGTGCTTTCAAGTGTTGTATAAGGTTTGGATGTGGTTCAAATCTGGGTAGCCTGGGGAGCTGGCCGCTGGACAACATGTCATGAATAAATGAAAGATGCAAAAATTACACTGCAATATAGAAATGAATGTGCTGTTCAATAGTGCAAACATGTAATAGGTTTTCACAGTTACAGTATATTATTAGTTTGGTTTTGACACAGAAGCAGCCAAATTGATTAAAAATTAAGAGAAAAATCTCTACCAATCAACCAAAAAGAAATGTCAAATGGGTACCATGGAAACAAAATGCCACCTCAATTTGCACAGCTGACCTAAACTCATGTGTGGTTTTAATTATTTATTTATAGCATGCCTGAACACAAGCTCATTTGTAACAGTTTACCCTCACATTCACTCATTTGGGATTTGCGCCTGCAGCACCCTTTATTTCTGATAGGAAAGGCACTATTCAATACCTGGCATTAATACTTAACAGCTGCTGGCATAGAAAAAGTTTTTGTTTTTTTTTTTTATTTGTAAAACACTATTTAACACAGGGATGATTTTTTTTTTTACCATCAAGGTGCACTTTTGGATAATTTATCATTATCAGTGTGTCTGTTGTTATTACTTAACATACAAGTCACCCAACTGAACAAGTGTACACAAAATTCAAAATTGTGTTGTCACTGAAATTAAGTTCAGAGCATCAAACGCTGCATAGTTTTGATGTAAAGTGTAATAGCAGGTGCAAGACTCCATAAATGACCCTGTATCATAAATAACCCAATTTCAGTCATTCTTAATCACTGGCAAAGCATGATAACTTTGTAGCAACCTGGATGACTGATGGATTACACATGATAACTTTGATCAAATGTATCAAATTATGCAAGTGGTTGCAAATAATAGAACTTATAGAAATATTTGTCAAAACATTTGTAGCTGGACTGAAATTTTGGAGGTTGACCTGTATGGCATATGCACAAGCCCTACACTCAGTCACACTAAGCTACAGTAATTACAATTCTTACAATTCAGTCTCTCACCTGAATAAAAAAGGGACTTTGATTGTGAATCAATAGTAGGCCACAGCTTGGCACATTAGCATTGGCTGTGCTCCATTTAGCTGGCCACATCAACATTACTGTACTTACTTAGTGGTCTATATTTCATTGTGTGCCTAATTACTGCTTGTATAGGTAATTAACATTATGAGTGGAAGGAAGTGGGAAGTGTATTTGATGAGTTATAAAGATTTATTTGCTTATTACACTATGTATTTTTGGTGACGTGCTATTTTTAGGGTATACTTATTAACATCTAAATAGCTGCTAATTTATTTCTTCTTTATGTGTTATTCTCCTGCTAATTAATTACTAATACTTGCCTGATAATAAACCCCTTATTTCCTCCTTTAAAGCTTATGAGTATGTTTTAAGGACATTTTGTGCATGACTAAGTTCATATCTTAATGTTATACTATTAACCTGCTATAAGGAGTTTATTCATAGGGTAATTAAGAGCTCATAAACATCTAATTAGCAGTAAGGTTATAAGGTAAGGAAGAATAAAACATAAAAAATGTCCGAATAAAGACTGATAACCACTTACGAATATGCAAATTAGCAGCCAGTTAGACGTTAATAAGTGTACCCTAAAATAAATTGTTACTGTATTGTTAAAGGAAAGGCCAGTGTTACTTCTCTCCCTCACACTGGCAGAGGCTTTTATGTTGTTATGGTGTTGAAAACCGTGAAGCGAACAAATACACAAATCACTGACCATTTGTAGAATGCGCGGAGCTGTGGGTAGTGCTCATACCTTGAAGTCTTCTGGAAGAAGCAATTTGCTGGTCCTGAGGAAACTGAGAATGTAGCGGAATATCTCTCCATCCCGGTCTATGAAGTAATGCTGCTTCAGACTGTCCAACACGATGGGCTCCGTGCCATTGAACAGGCGACTGATTCTGGAAATTGAAACACGCACACAAAAACACACACACACAGACATAATAGAATGAGCAACTCCCTTCAAATGCATGAAACAATTACCCTCCATTTATTTTTCAATTTTATTAGCAGCGAGCTCCAAACGCATTAGCATCCCAGGTTGAAACAAGGGGCTTAAGGCGCACTCGCTCCATTTCAGACTTGTTTGAAGTGTCCCTTCTGCGGAGATTACAACAACACACACGCCCGCTGCCTGTACTTACAAAAAATTAATAGCATCAATGTAGCATTACGGCTCTATTATTCCAGCTGTCAGAGGGAATGGAAAGAGGTACGAGCCGGTGGAGGACAACAAGGCACACCTGGCAAAAATGTGTTTTATTATCAGACCAAATGTTTTAAGACTTGATGGTTTTGGGCTCAGAGAATGATAAACAGTGACGAGGATTTGTAAGGCAGGATATTTACGGCCATATTGATTTGTAATAAAACAAAAGTGTGGACTAATTATTAATAGTATTATAATCATACATAGTAAAGTACACTAGTAACTAACTGTTACTTTTGGATGTTATTGTTGTTCATTCTTGAAAGCTAACTGGTCATAATATGCTACTAATTGTGCAAAGATTTTGACATTGCCGTCTAGGATTGGGACAGAGTTTCAATACACATATTTACATTGCCAATGTTGGGACTATTTAGATAGCTTTTTTTTAATAACTGAATAACTTGGAAACTTTGTGCTATATTGCTTGAAAATATAGTTTGTATTTAAATTTTTGTCATTTTACCTGTTGCGGGGACCACAGCAGTAACCTAGATTTGTTTCAGATTTGCAATTCTTGTTCTCTATTTTCCCATCCCTGATTCTCTGACTCGTCTTGTACTCAGAAAGCGAAAAAATTTAAAATACTTTTAAACAGCTCTAAAATATTTCCTTAAGTGTTTCAAATTGCAGTGAGACCAACACCTAAATTGCACTCATTTACTTTCATCTTTCCCTCTCTGTGCTTCTGTTGCCTTGGCGAAGTGAATAATCCGTAGTAATGATTTACACTAGAAGTTGTTGCGTGTAACCTCTACCCGTTTCCATGTCTTTTGAGAAACTGCTCTTGGCGCGGCACTGCGTTGCTGCTATTATCTTCATTTTGATGTAATCAGCTCTTTAATCACACAACTGCCTCTACATCAGCTGACAGAGCGACCTGACAATGAATATTATAAAACCTATTTGTAACCACACATGTAAGCCTGTAGAGGAGAGGTTGCATTGTCTTGCATTGATTTCTCAGGGAACACTGCTGTAATCCTATCCCTGAGTTAAACCAAACCACAGCAATTTATCATTTTACACTATAAAGATTTGGAAAGTCAGTATAAATGTGACTTCTCTTTGAGTGGACTGCACTAAAACCACACAATAAAGCCTCTGCTCTCTCCTTTTCTCTGCCTTTCTTTTACTTTCTGTCTTTCTACCGTCTCCATCCTTCTTCTTCTGCCGTACTCTCTGGAAATCGATGCAAAATGCTTTATAAAAAACCAATACTCATCTCCCTGTTTGGCCCGAGGTGTTCCTTTCTCATATGGTCTTGCAATTCTTCCAGCTAGAATTTCACCATACCCCTGCAGGCTACCTCTGTTTTTCATCTCCACTTTTTTAAAAAGCAATTAAAATGCTGCCTGTTTTTCTTTTCTTTCTCTCTCTCTCTTCTCTGCTCCCGCTCTCACTTTCTCTCTTTCTGTGTTGGTCTGCTCATTCTTGCCTCTCATGCAAGAGACACAGAGTTTTCAAACAGGTTGGAGCTTATAGTAGTGGACAACTTTAACTACCGGCAGCCATAATATTAGGTTCACTTGTTCATTTTCCCTGTGAACATTGGAACTGTTGAATCCTAACTATATTAATCTGTCAGATGGCCTTTCTTGGGCAGCCTTCTCAACTCATCCAGGCTTGTGTACTTTCAATTAAAGGACATTTAGGAAATTGACACATAACTTATTTGGAGATTTTAAAATAGTTTGTTAAGTCTTCACTATAAAGACTAGAGATTGAAAATTTGAACAACAAACTCCTAACGGGATGTAGAGATTCCTGTTAAAATATAACATGAATTTCATAAGTGGTAAGAACTTTTGCGTTTGAAAAAATATGCATAAAACAAGCCTTTGCGTATTTTTGTAGATCTATCTATTTTTGCTAATGAACTCATTGTAAACTTTCACATCACATGGCAGCAAATCAATGCATTTTACAAGATCAGAAATGCCACAACAGTTTCATTTTACACTGACCACTGACTGGTTGTAATCTGTTTCTGTTCTTTTTCTTATTCTTTCAGACAATTTTAAGTAAATTCCAACATTGTAAAGTCACGTTGCATGTTTATGTATTTCCCTCAATTCGGAAGCTTGATGTATACTTTATACTTACCTATACTATTACATTGTTATGGTTGACTAAATTTTGATCACTGCACTGAGACGCATATGCAGCTGTACCTAATAAAGTGACCTGTCTGTGTATAAACATAACAAGAATCTATAACTATGCTACAGAATGTGAAAAAGCAGAGAAGATGAGGAGGGAGGAGGTGGGAGTGGGAGGTTATCAAGGACAGAAACAACTCAGATGTGCCACCCCAGCCATACACAGGGAGGCCAGGCAGCAGGGCAGTGGGTGGGCATGATCTGGCAGGATACAAGCTGCAGTGTAACTCGGTATAACAGCCCCAGGACAAGAGCTGAGGGAGGTGGGAGTACCCAGGTATCAACTAAACACAAGCTATCTGGAAATGTGAGCGACTAATGGACAATGAAGGCCAAAAATGTATGAAAGCTGGAGGTTGCAGTCTGAGATACAACTCTATATTGACATTTTTACATTAGCTAATAAAATGTAGTGAATCTACACTTAAGTGTCTCTGTTGAGAATTTGAACGATTATTTTCAAACATCATCCTGACCTAAATAAAATTTATACAACTACAATTTGAACTATACACTAGAGCATTGAATTGAACTGAAAACAATTTCACCTATTATTGGAATAAATGCAGCTCATTGTTTAGACTCTGCAATAATGTATATGTAGTACAATTAAGCTAATTTGTTTTTAGTTCCTGAATTGAACATGAGTGTTCCTCTTGTTCCTTTAGAACAGTGTAACACTTAAACACTTAAACTTAACTGTGTAAGTGTATTTAAGTGTAACTTGGGTTTACATTTAACCCAAGTCAAAATGTATTTAATGGCAACTATTTAAATTTTTTTCAGATCAGTTCATTTATTTGAGCAACATTTGAGCAGGTTTTTGCCAGTTTATATACAGTGATAAACAATTATTATATCAACAACAATAATTAACAGAAACTGTGAATGCTACCAGTAGATACATCTTATCAGTATAATAATTTGGCCTAATTCTCCAGCAGTTCAAGTAACAGATCCACTGCCTCGTGTGAATCTACGCAGAATTACATCAAACTTTCATGACCCTTGTCCCTTAATTTGGGCCGTATAGAAGAAGATGAACAACCAGACATTAGTTACTAGACTAACTTTCTCTTGGCACGCTGCATAATTTAGCACCAATCTATTAAAAGTAATCCTCAACTTGAATCTCTTTAACCCTGTTCTTTTATACTTGTCATCTTTCTTATGCACCTCGAGACTGGACAGGGCCATATGCGGCGTATATGTATATGCCTTTGCTCGTGTGATTGTTTTGCTTTCTGCTGTCAGCCATTATCCTAATTCACACAAAAGAGCCCCTCCTTCCTCCACTGGCTCTAGCAGAAAGTGAAGCCCCCGGGCCAAATGTACACTGAGGAGGCTGGGAGAGAGAAAAGAAAGAGACGTGGAGGAGAGAGTGGGAGAGCACGCAGAGGAGAGAAGGGCTAAGACAAGAGAAAGAACATTCACACTAGTATTATTCAGCCTACAACTCCCCATTGCTTGACATTGAGGAGCTTGTCAGATATGGCAGGCCCCTATTTCCATGATTTCTATTAATTATCCAGACTGAAATTAAGTGAACAACATTAAACAAACGCCCAGTGCAGAAGATAAGTAAATGTATGTTCGTATATATGAGTTTCTTTTAATTATACTCACTATGATTAATTTTTCCTTTGTAGTTTAATAATAAAATAATTCAATAATGTGGCAATAGTGAGGCCAGTGAACTACCTGCCACTACGAGACAAGATAAATACAGAGTTCCATCGTGTTATAATAACACATAACAAATCAATAATGGTGCCCTCAGAGGAAATGCCAGGAGGAAAAGATACACAATTCAAGTCAAAATATTACCAAAATTATATGACTAATAATTCTTTATAAAGTATATGAAAAACTAAAACGAAACTTTGCCTGTTTTGGGCTCTTTTAGATATATTACAAATGTGTCACCTGTTTGTCTTTAGACATGATGTGATCTTATAAAAAAAAAAAAGATTCATTTTATAAATAGGAAACATCTATATTAAGAATAAAAAACATGGAGAACTGTTTACAAATCCACTGAGAACTATTTGTTGAATGCCAAAAATATCTGTAGTCCACATGTTATGGCTACTGATTGAGCTATACAACGCCATGGTTCCAGGCTGAAAATGCGTCTTAATAAATAAAACAATGATAAATCCTTGTCTGGGATGAGCCTCTTTCTTCTCATGACATCTTACAGAGAAGAATAAAAGAGAGAGTTTGGAGGGATTTCCTGTCAGCGGACTCAGTGAATATCAAGACTTTATTACCAGGGGATTATGGGGGATTGTTTCCTGTAGCCAATTTGGCAGAATTTCTAACAACCTCCTGTATGTTTACCTTGGCCCACATGGGAACCTGTCAGCTGATGCGCAGTCTGAGGCGGGAGTAGTGCTGAGTGACAGGCTGTATACAAGGGAGCAAATGCAGAGGGCTTAAACGTAATATATTCTTATCGAGACTAAAGAAGCAAAAAAGAATAGACCAATAATTATCTTTACCAGTCTTTATTATAATTATTCAATCAAATTAAAAGATCTAGTAACCTACTGATCTAATTAATTGTAATGCTCAAAAGTACACTATTTAGAAAATGTGAATGTTCATTGCTAAATGTAAAAAACTGTCACTTATAATCCACCAGGCCAAACAGAGCAAAGCATTATGAGCATGAGTCGCACCGGCCCTGTCATTCTGACAGCTGTATAATATAGCCTAAAAAAGATACAATGTGCCTTTAAGCTTTTTGTATTTATTAGACTCCATAAAACAATTATGGCTCAAACAAAAACATTAAAGGCAGTTTATTACTTTATTCCTAAAAGGATCTGTTATCTATAACTATAACACTAATAATCTAGGTATATCTTAATGTGGCACAGCAAGAGACACTCAATCACTGTCAAAATCAATTGTCAAAATTCTACATTAACAGATAATTCAGAAATAAAATGGCTGAAATAGTTAAATGATTACCTTGAGTCGGGGTACTTGGTGAGGGTCGCCAGGCTGCTGGTGTACATGTGCCCTCCAACGTCAATGTGGACAGGCGCGTTCGCCTTGGTGAGCTGCGCCGGCAAAGGGATGCCCTGAGCGGCCAGAGGAGAGACCGGGGACCGGGTCAGCGACAGCCGAGACATGCTTCTGCCCTCCTGAAAGCAAGTGTAGAGAAAAGCCATGGGAACCACAGAAGAGGAAGCAGTCCGCACACACCGTGATCCTACACGGGGGAGCACCAACTATCTTTTCTGGATACTATCATATCACTTCCATGACTGTCTGGTCGCATGTTTAGCCCGGAAATTATTGCCACCGCTCTAATTAAGTATGTTTGCATCTTTTCTTGCTGCACCGGAGGCGAGGATCGGAGAATGCTTATTAGAGGAGCAGGGCGAGAGAGAGAGAGATAGACAGGCAGATATGGGGAGAGAGAAAGCGAGAGGGAGGGAGGAATGCTAGGTGCCAGCCTCCAGGGGAATAAAACAAACTGCTGCTGCAACATTCTAATTAAAGGTCGCCTTATGTGTTAGACGTGATGCGCCCAGACACACCAGCACCAAGAGGACAGAAAGAGTCTCTCCCTTTCAGCTGACAACTTTTACAAATCAGTTCACAAGAAAAATAAAAGCACAATCTATCTCACATGCAAGTTGAAATTGTATTGCATCATTTATCTGTCTTTATCTGAGCCAATTACCTGCCTACACAGTGAGCACGGGTGTCAAAATTTCGCACTGCGAGGTCAACATGTGGCAAAAAAATCACGAAATTGTTAGTAGCCTGGTTATGTTTAAATCGTTTAAATAACGGAACTACAGCTGTTGGTTTTCAGTACTTTTGTAACCTGTAATAAATGAAATTATAAAGCTAAATCTCAGTAATTGCTATAAACAGACAATATGGCTCAGTGGCTAGATCAGAATGAGGGCAGCTGCTATTTGAGTGTAACTGAAGGCCAGATGTGCCCCCAGGCTCTGAGCTGGAGGTGCCTTTGTACTAAAAGTGAGACTATTTTTCCACCGTGTTTTGTCTCGGTAGAATGTTGGGTTAATGCGATTACAAGAGGACGACATTAAGCTGCATTGCAAATCCGTGGAGAGGGAAACTTGGACAGACTTGACAAGTTTGGAATCCCACGCACAATTGTGAAATACCTTTATTTGTCGGTCACTTTGTACAACATCCTCCTATAACGCGCACAAACCTCTACTCGATGAAGAATTCCTTCACAACACCTGTCCATACTGACTGTAAAGGCATTAACTTTCTCATAGGAGCAGCTATTCTTTGCACTGACCCCATTCATTTAAAACGAGTATCCTGTTTCCTCTCATGACATCCATCAAACACACTGAATACCCCACACGGAAAGCCGCCACAAAACCAGCACAAAAAGTCTCTGCAAAAAAGACCCGCACATCCAGAGCATATCCTAATTCTACCAACTACTCAACATGGCGTCTTTTTCCTGATGTGAATTAAGAGCTAAAGCTCGAAACGTGTAATTCAAATCCTGGTTGAGAAAAGAGGATAGTGTCCAAGGTGTCAATGACAATAAGTATCACCGTTAAAATCAAACAATACTGCGCGATAAAGGCTCAAATGTGTAGTACATGTGATATGAACAAAGCATGCAAATTAATTTTAGCCATACCGTTTCAAACATTGTTGTGGGTCCGGAAGAAATCCGTACCGGCAGACAGTCCCAGTCGATGTTAACGCAAGGTAAATAGTCTAGTATTGTCTCCAAGTGCAGTGGAGTTGGTAAGAACTAGCTCCTCTGTGATTGCTACGCTGTCTCACGGAAAACCTCTGTACCGGGCGAAAGTGTGTGACCGAGATGGACTGGCTGCAAAGAGTCTCTGTGGCTTTAAATGGTTCAATTGCACGGCTGCCTCGACCTGTCCTCAACAAGCCTCTTTGTACCAAAGTGCACAGGAAGCGTCCTTACCTTGAACATCGATGAGACGATCTCCTTCCCCTTTTACGCTCTTATTTGGATACGCGTAAAATCGTGCGCTCCTGGTGTAAACTGGATCCGTATTTGAGCTTCTTATCTGCCTTTTTGCCTAAATGAAACTGCCCCTTCAGTTTGTTATGAGAAGAAGAAAGCCAATAATCCGTCTCTAAATAACAGAGCAGGGCTAAAAAAGAAGATTCTTGCTCCGGGCTGCCCATGCGCCTCTGGGCCAGGGATTAGGCTACAATTAGCTCAACTCCACTCTATCGCCCAGACAATTTTCTCAAGGAACACAACGTGATACCCCCTACTCTCCAAACGATTCCAGCTCACGTTTACTAATTTTCAACTAAAAAGTTGTTAACGCGTTTGCCCTTAACGACGTAAACTTGGTTAGAGGGGATGTCCTAACAGGCAACTGCCAGTCTCTGTCTCCGAGAAGATTTGAAACAGCAGAAACACATTTGAGTCATTGTCATTTGGTCTGATGTAAGTCCCCAGGCAGTTCCAGCTAAGAGGCATTCATTTCCATATCCATCTCCATTCCCAATGTAAAGTTTACAGTGCCACAATCCCGCTCTGAAAATGTGTAGCGGAATAAATAACTTGTTGATGAAGTCTCAGTAGATTAGTAAATATGTTGAAAATGTAGAGATCCTTCACCCAAAATGTTTGACCCGGTGCTTTCCCCGCGTGCCCGCTACGCTCCCCTGTTCTTCGCTCTCTCGTTGCCTTAATGTCTGGAGTTGCAATGCCAAATTTCCTGCAGGCCATTAAAATCAAATGACGTCCATGGACATGCACGCGCGCCGCCGCAGAAAGCGCCCTCACAACCTGCCTGCGGCCGAATGCGCCATTTCAATTATAGCGCGGGGCTTAGATGGAGCTATCTCCCCGTAATATTCTCACTTCACAGTCAAAACGGGCAGCTTCCTCTCTTTAGGGGAAATACAGACTGTTGAATTACTGTTCCATTCTAAACACTGGATACAATGTGAAGTCAGAGCCACACGTTTATTGAGGCAGGTGCGCTGAGAGAGCACCATGTGTGTTATGTTTGTTTATTCAGTAAATAAATAACTGTGAATAGTTGAACCCAGGGATGACGAGTATGACTCTGGAACCAAGTCTAAGAGGGGCTACTCGGGTTGATTTCTTGATATTTGGCGCCAACCAGTGTAGAAAGTTGTTATTGTTCCACTGAAACAACTTATTCAAAACTACTTTCTTTCCTTGTATTTTATCTTTATGATGTAGGAGACTATAACCTCATCAGCCTGTTTCAGTTCTTTGTTCCTGCACGTGTTCCGCCTGTATATCTTATACTTTTTAATTTACACACATTTCAGTGAACTAGTTGTCTTATATTTATTTTAGACAATAGAGAGCAACATTACCATGGTGTTAAAGTCAGTTGGTTTATTTGCTGAATCTGACTGCACTAAGCTCGTGAGAGTGAGAGCGCGTCTCCTTGAAGCGCGCCAAGTGTGCGTAATTAGACAGACCTCAGAAAGCTCCCATCATCCCCTGCGGCGAAGATTTGTTGTTTCCAGCCAGGGGTTCGGACTGGAGGGGAAACTGATTTTTTTCTCTCATTAAAGGAAACAAGCCCGGAGTTACTTCAATTACATGAAGTATGCAGGCATGTTGTAAATTTAAAGATTTAAATAGCTTACAAAGTGGCCTCGGGCTGCATCAGTTAATTTCCTTAATTTATGGATTTTAAAGGGGTGTCTATGTGAAAGGGGAAGTAGGTCATCTGGAAAATGTGTGTTCAGTTTTTGGATGCAATGACAGATATAAACATTGGCTCTAAAGGCCACCTGCTCCAGAGCCGAGAGGTCAAAGGACAAATGTACATCTTTACGTGAGGTAAAACAAATACTGTATTAGGAGCTTTTATAACCTGGCATTGCACCTGGCTTTAATGAATGAATGCATGAAACTTTAACTGCAATATTGCCTCTAGTACAATATGCAAATGCTTGGGGTAACGCTTTTTATATTTTTACACTATCTTTCAGTCAGCCACATTTTGTTTATATTTATGATGCTTTCAACAAAACTTCAAAAGAAAAATCATTTGAAATACAAAGATATTTTCCAGATTAGAATAACGCACAATATGAAGCAGGTATGTAACATAGTATAGTACCATCTACTGGTGTACTGGCAAATTGACTACGTTAATTATGTTTTGAATTAAGATGTCTTTATTGTTATTGTAATAATACAAATGAAAAAAACAGCAGTTCAGTTTCAGTTGAATTCACTTTTTAAGTCCAAGCTTATCTCACTTGGTTTAATCAGAATCTCGTGTTCACCAAGTATATGTACAGTAGTTTATGCTGTATCAGAGCATTGAAGTACAAAAGTTTATGCTATATACAGTCATACAGTCAGATTCACCCTTCTAAATTTGAGCTTTGTGAAGATTTCTTTCAAGCAATTGCTATCAGATCAACACTCTTACATCCCCCTCAGGCGTGTGGAGAAAGTTTGGAAAGAACACGGAGAACTTGCTCTCAGTAATCTGCATGCCTGGCAGAGCCGGTGGCTGTCAATCGCTGGGTTCTTGCAGCCATTTGACATTCTGCTTGATGTTGTGTGTGACTGAGGTGGCGTACTGACACTTATTGTTCATTATTTCTGGGAGAGAGAGAAAGATACAGCTGGAGAGATAGAAAGACTTTGTCAGTGTGTGAATAACATTTGCAGGGTTGCACACAATTACCTAACAAGCACAACCATAAATGTACCTGCTTGCTTAATGCCACCATTTACGTTTGAGTGAGAGTTACTGTATGGAGCTACTGCAGCTTGCAATTGCATCATGTCTGGTGGAACTCAAATTGAGTGTACATATAATAAAATATACTTAATTTTCCATATCTGATTCTATTTCAAAGGAAACTTTGGTGGTAATGGTAAATTATTACAAATGATTTAACTTTGATAGTTGTAATTTTGTATTTCCTTTATTTGCATCACCTTGTATCATCTCTGCTGTTTTATAAAACAAGTCTTGTTTGATTTAAGAACAGAGTCCCAGAACATGTATCAATCTGACATTAGATCCTGTTCTAGTGATTACAATGAAAAGTCCTTGACCACCGTAGGCTTTATAAAGGCAAGTTGTATTTATGCCCTTCAGCTCTCCAGCAGTACAGTCTACTCTTGTGGAGCTCATTAATGAATTCAAACCATTTTGTGGACACATTCACATTGTTACATTCTCCAGATATAACAAAAATGCACAATGAGAAATAATCTTTGAATTTTCTCTTATAGTCTGTTTTGTGTCATATGGGTTAACCTCTTATGTCCAAACTGCTCAGGACCTCATTATTTGTTTTACTATTGTGCTTTTTTTTTTTTCCTCGTGTTTCAAGTTGACCAAACTGCTCCTTGTAACACAATTCTAATTTGTCAGACCTGTCCTGACTTTTTTTGCTTGTGGCTCTGCTCTGTTCCACGCACATTCACGTCTACATGTTGAAATGTTGTGCAGAGGAAAAATGATCTTATGGTTTTGTTGCTGCTGCTACTATTTGGTTAACAGTAACAGAATGAACAGTGTGATGCCTGCATATCACATCTGGTATGCATCATGTAGCAGTCCCTTGGCTTGAACGTGCCTTCGGGGGGAGTCCCTGGCACGGCACGGCACCCACAGCCCTCATTAGAATGCATGTGTCACTGTGGCATCAAGCAGAAGCCTTGACTTATGCTTTAGATTTACAATCATCCATCAATGTCATGAGCCCCGGCCAGAGCAGAACAGGGATCTGCACTTTTGAAGAGAATGGTGATGCGGTTGTGACTCCTGGTACACAGAGCATCCTCCAGGGTTTCTGTCGGCGGCCATGTTGTTGGGTCTAGTAATGGCCTGAGAAAGAAAGTTCAGTCTCTATCCTTTTGTTGTATGCTGCACACCCTAACAGCGGCGAGTTTTGATGTGTCTTCTGAAGACGAGCTGCTTTGTCAACACCCAGGCCTGACACTATGGGAGCCGTGGCCCGAGGGTGACAGAGAGGGGAGGGTGGGGCCACACAGCAGCCTGGTTAAAGAGAGGGACAGACAGACACACAGACAGAGGAGGAGGGGAGGGACAGGGGGATGGGGCCTGCTCAAGTGCCCAGTGCCCAGGGCCAGAGGAGAGCGCTCTGTGCTGCACACTGCCTGATGGCGACTGGAGCTGCTGGCTGATGACATTTTCTGGTCACAACATGCAATCCCCCAACTTATTTAGTGGGATGAGACTTTTTAAGCACTCACTGTGTTTGTTCACAAAGAACAAGTTTTAGTTGTGTCACAAGTTTTGATTCTATTACATAAAGCAAGAAAGTATATGAATTGTAAGACTGCCTTAGAGATCTAAAGAATTAATTGCTTTAATCATGATGAGGTAAACATAAAAATAATAGTCTAAGATGTAATAAATATGTTTTGTTTTTTTTTAACAGTTACTGTACTTTATTATTCTCTAATAGGTTTCATGTGTCACTCACAAGTGTATTAGCTCTGGCTCAGAAACATGTGAAGTGCTGCTGCAGAGCGGAGCTCCATGGCTCAGTGTGCAGCTGCCTGGTGCCTGGACACAGCCCTGCAGCCCACAGGCACAACTAGATAACTCCTGTCTGATTAGCTCCTAAGGAGGACATTGTTCCAAAAGCAATTCACTCCACTCCCAGTATTAATTTAGTCCCCAGAGAGAGCCATCCATCGTGGGCAGGACGGGCCCCGCTGTGGGCCTGGCCCCTGGTCTGGTAATAGCGCGGCCCCTCCTGGCCTGTCACCATAAGTGATAGCGTTGGAGAGTTTGTAGCCTGGTCGTGTTTGTCCCATCAGGACCGTGCCCCTCCTCTCCTGAGCTCAGTCAGGGCAGGTGTCTTCTCTGTCATGTCCATTACTCATGCTGCTGGACACAGGAAGACAAAGTTCACATATAAGGCTGGGCCATGGCTGATTCATGAGGGCTGTGAGAACAGGAGAGAGAAGGGATTTCAACAAAACTATAAAAGAAATACTGAAACTTTTAGCAATGCTCCAAAGAGCCTAACATTTAAAAGGATCAAAATAAATAATTATGTTCTTCAGCAACATAAAACATGAGCTGGATATTTGAATACAAGACACGATCAATGGATTATACCACACATAGGATATAGGTTAGCTAATTTATAGAAGACATTTATTTATATATATTTATTTATTTATTTTATTCATTAACACTGGTGTAGAATTCTTAACAGCGAGACAATTAGACATTTGATTACAAGTCGTACCAGTTCACATGTGCAAAAGGCACATTAGCTATAGATATAAACCTGTGTAAACGTGAATGTGTCACAAACATCTACCAAGTTTAAATAGAGAGACGCCACGAAGCATCTGGGACGTTTACGGAGACTCTACTGCCATCATGTGGTCATAATCACGCAGTGACACTGAATTTACTAAATATTCCATCTATCACATCTATGATTGTGTAGAGAATCTGTAGATAATCTTATACCATAATTTAGTCAGTAAAAAGTCTAATTATTCAGTGAAAATATTTGCACTGTATTCACAACATAAGACAAACGAAACAAGTTTGCTGACAGAAAAGAAGCAATAGAAAGTTCAATGAAAAAAAACAACTGCAACAAGGAATACACTTGAATAAAGTGTTTAATTTAGTGTTTAATGACAAATCAAAAAATAAACTAATCAGTTACACTGAGTTTATGATTGTCTGAATTAAACACTATGGTGACCTCTAGTGGCGAGGCTTCTTCCCAGGTTTGGGCGCCCATCCAAACTTTGGCTTAAATTTGGGACGATCCTCATCTGAGTCAGAGTTGTCAGGGCCAGAGTTAGGTTTGGGTGGTCCAGGATTACGGCAGTCCCGGAAGAAGAGAGCAGGGTCTATCTTCTTACATTCTTCACCAGCATTCAAAAAGATCCTACAGGAAGTAATAGAACACATGTTCTAATTTTAAAGTAGTTGGTAAAATTTACTGACAAGAAAATGAACTGTAAAGGACCTTAGCCAGCCATTTTTAAAATACACTCTACATGTGTGCATAAACTTACTTAACAAACACCTTGTTCATTCCAAGGCAGGCACCATCTACTTTCACATTGGTGCCATTGATTACAACTGCAGAGAAAACACACTTATTTAATATACTGCACATCAACATATACACCAACCCAACATGAACATAAAGAGGACAAAAATATTTATTTTTGTTACAAAATAAAACATACTAGACTGCAGAAGGCCATGCTACCACTAGTTTGCTTTAATCTATGCTATTAAAAATGTCATTGTTAGATTGATCGGGTCTGTGCAAATTGTGGAAAGTAGCGGCAAGTACACAAGTAAAAGTATAGCATTCCTTAATATCTGTATTACAATATACACCACTCACCAACACAGCGTCGGAGGTATTTGCCTACTCCATCCCGTCCCCTCCCTTCCTCACTGCTGTCCTCCTCGGAGCTGGACTCACTTGCTGTTGGAGGGGGTGGAGGGATTGTTGTGGATGGAGGGGGTGGAGAGGGGGTACAGGGTGCCGAGGTGGAGTTAAGAGCAGGGGTACTGAAGTTGCAGGGTGCAAAAGTAGGAGGAGGCATGGGTGGGTTCATCAAGGAGTGGTTGACAAATTTCTCCACTTCACAGATGACTACAAAGAGAGAGCAGAGAGAAGATCTTTATTAATGAATGTTGAATGGAAAATATTGTGCTTTATGTATTCATGGGTGTAATTGTCTGCTATATCATATTTATGTAGAAATCTAAGACACCTTACAGTTTAAAAGTGCATTTTGCATTTGTTTTACACTTAGTTTAAAAAAAAAAAAAAAACACAAAATTTGATGTGATCAGAGATCATGAAATCAAAGGGTTAAGAACAAACAAATTAATTAATTAATGAATCAATTGAAATATTGCTCAATGTCTCACCTGTTGCCAGATTGTTCTCCCATACTCTCCTTGGGAATTGTGAGGCCCTGACTTGGTCTCTGAGCCCACAGCGCTTTTTCATGTCCATACACAGCACAGGCACCAGCACGGCCAGAGCCAGCACCACGACGGGCCTGAGGGTCATCTTCTACTGAGACAAATGAGGAAAGAAACAGGCCGCTATAACTTAAGTCATACTAACATATTCACGTTTTCACTAAATACACTTTTGGAATTTTAAGTATATGCCACTGAAATAAAAACTGAGAGCTTAAAAGCAAAAACAAACAAAATACATATCTATATTTTGAGACAGTAGATACTAATTAATAAAAAAAATAATAATAATGCAATGAATGAAAAATATAAGATAAGATAACCTTTATTTTTGCACACAATGGGGAAATTTCAGTGTTGCAACAGTACAAAAACAATAGGAAATTGAAAATGTGCATTAAAAATATAGATAAATAACTATGAAAAAGTCTTTATTATAAGGCTATTTTGTGCATTAAATGGCTAAAATTATCATTATGCACAAAAAACGAATACTAAATTAAATAATGAAAATTACCATTTCTTACCAGTTAGGTTTTCTTCTTCCTCTTCCTAATTGGAGAAGTTGAGTGTATGTTCAGACAGCGTTCACGGCTGTATTTATACCCAACACACCAAAACCCACCTTTGTTTGATTCTAGACACTGCCCTCTTTCAGAAGAATGACACAGGAGTGACTCAGAACCATTTAAGCATCACTTCATCAACAATGAATACCTTTTGATGGAAAATAAACAACAGGGAGGGGACAGTATGGGATTATGGACCGTTTCATGATTCAATAATTCAATGATCCAAAAAGCCTTTATCAGTGCTTCCCCAACTGTTCTGTCTGCAAAAGCACATGTCATAGGACATATGTCTGCATTTTCATTGAAAAAAGGGCAAATCTTACGCTGGGAATGTCATATATTATTATATTATATTGTTGAATTATAATGGTTAATATACTTAAATGTGAACTTTGTGGGGAGATGTTACTGATTTTCAAAAAAATCTAAAACTTTAAAACACAAATTAAGTCATGCTTGTAAATTAAGAAGGTTTATATGAGACAAGACTTCTGTGTCTAAAATATAGTTTTTTAAAATAACGTAAATGGATAATTTTATGTTATGACTATATTGTTGAGTTGTTAGGTGGTCCAGTCCTTTTTTTTAAACCAATACAAATAGAAAATTTATTTATTTATTTTTTATGTGAACAACCAAAAACAAACTTCATTTTTCATTCATTCAATTGCTTGAATGTTCCACAGTAGCATTACAATTAGCTGTTTTTTATTCTATTATTATTATTATTATTATTATTATTATTATTATTATTATTATTATTATTATTATTATTATTATTATTATTATTATTTTAATCACAAAAATATCCCAAAATACAATTTAAAGTGCAGGTTAGACTACAAATTTCACTAAAACTGAGTTAACATAAATGTTAAAATAAAAAAAAAATCTTGCTTAGTTTATTAAAGGTCCTATCTTACACAAAATGGTCTCTTGTGAGCATTTAGCCATGCTTGAAAAAACATACAGTACCTGGGATTGTGTTTCGTTTCAATGACACATGTTTGAGCAATGCTTTATTGTTAGTCTGTCTACATCTCCAAAGCTCAAAAGGCTCTGTTTTGCCTTGAGTGGTAGTTGTCACGTTAACAGTTACCTTTTTCATTTAGTTCAGCAGAAACAGGCATTTCTGGGCTCAGATTATTTGTCACATTAACAGCTACCTTTTTCATTTAGTTCAGTAGAAACAGGCATTTCTGGGCTCAGATTATCCAAATGATTCCATTGAAAGTGTCTGGAATTTATAAACACAGTGAAGGACTTCTTGTATAACCACATGCCATCACAAAGTGGAACACATTGTTTTTGAATGTTGTTTAAGAGAACTCAGCCATACGGAGGGTTTGTGTGTGAAGGATATGTGAATGAAACAAAACACGACTGTTTCCATTGCGGAAACAGTTTTATAACATGAGAATAGCATAATATGAGCCCTTCATTTGCTGGTGAAGTTTAAGTGGAGGTAATTCCATAACTGTTAACTAGCAACCATAATGTAAACCAGTGCCAAAGCATGTCTAAATTACACACTAGTTGTAATTTGACTAATAAAAATAGATGACAGCTTTATTTTGTAAGATTAATGTTTTCATCTGTTAGAATGCTGTTTCCTTATACCTGGGGTTGAGTTTTGTTTAATTCACAAACATTTAACACACAAAATCTGCATATTGAGTTCTTCTCTCAAACTGAAAACACTTTGTTCCATCTTGTGATGTCATATGGTAATACAGGAAGTGCCCAACTGTGTTTTTAAACCCCATATATCTTTATTAGAATCATTTGGATAATTTCAGCCCTGGAATTACCAATCTCTACAGAACAAAAGGTAAAAAGTAGCTGTTAACTTAAAATCACATCATAAGGTGGAGCAGGACATTTTGAGCTTTGGAGCTGTAGAAAGACTACTAATACTAGGGAATGAAACAAAACACAAGTCCAGGTATGGTTTTGATGAGGTAACTTTATAATGTGATAGTCCAATGAGGTTCATTTGGTCTTCTGATTATTGATGTTATTTGGTTCTTTCTTGAGGCCAAGGATTTGTTTTCTTACCTGACAGTTTGGACTGCTCACTAGTGGTCTTCCTCAGAGTGGTCATGTGATGTTGCTGTGACCTGTCCGGTCAACTGATTTATACAGGTTTTGAGGTGAGAGAACCACATTACGGACTGGAATGGAGCAACATCATTGGGACAGAGGACAACAAGTATTGTTGGTGGATTAATAATGCAATCAAAATATAGAAATGTGTCCATGGAACTATAAACTGGGACAAGGTTTTTTTTTACTCTTACACACCTGTCCTGAGAAAGTCAGACTGCAGATGGCGCTGTCATCCTGCCTCCACCAGTACGAAGAGAGTGACAAAACCTGATGACAAAAATACAACAACAAAATAACCTAATAACATAACATTATAACTTGGCTAAAAGCTCAAGAGTCAATTTTGCACAATATAGGACCTTTAAATTGTGAATGCATCTTCACAGATCTAACCTGTAACTTGGCCTGGTGGCATTACCTTGAGTCAATGGAAATAGATAAGTTTAATTCCCAATCTGCTGCAACCAATATATGGAGACAAGAAGCTCTCCTACCAAGAGAAGTCACGTTTGGTACAGATACTAACTATATAATTTTCTATGTATTTGAGAGGATCATAAAACAGGTGAATTTGATAGCTGTACGTTTTAGAGTTTATTATAATATATGTGAAACCTTTGCAAACCTTTGCAAAGTAAACTAAACTGACAGCTTTTGTTCTCACCTCAAGTTTGTGGAAGAGAATGTTGTTGACAGAGCAAATGAGCTATGGCGAAGTCAGTAAAAGGGTATTGAGTTTCAGTTGAATGGTCCTGCTCAAGCAAAGGATTAAATTAATGAAAATGATGGAACATTGAATGGAAGGGATGACAAAGGTTCTATTATAATTATTGTTTTCCAGATGACAGTTTATCAAATCACTGTCAAATCTAAATCTTCCATATTCATGTGAATCTAGTAAAAATCTTATTGAAAATCTGTCTTTGTTTTTTCTTCATCTTTTTTCTATTTAGTATACTCAAAAATCCTTTATTTAAAAAAAATGAGATAAAGTTTCTGAGTTATATGTTTGTTTTCCAATCAGAGACATTTGTACACACATTACTAAATGATCTATGACCTCATATGCCCTTTCAACTTGTGTCTGTGTACAGTACACTCTTGCAACACCTTATTACATCATAGATATGTGGCAGGCTTTGAAGTACTATTGTCATTGTATTTCTTATGTCTAATGTCAAACATAACAAACAATGGTCCGTTCCGCACAGTCATGGCTCAAATTCCCATGACACATTTTTATGATATTTGATATAAACAGCTACTGTATCAGGCAGTTCAGCCAGGGCAGCTGCACTGGGGCCCATAGAGGCCATTGATCCGACACTGTGGTAATTGTGCAGTCCATGTTATACTCCTACTGTGAATCTAATTAAGCCCACTCACTCTGCAGAGGGCATATGTGTAACCATACTACTCTCTGTTATGGTTCAAAAACAAAATGGTAAATGTCACGTTTTTCCACCTACAAGGCACTCAAAGCGCTTTACAACAAGGAACCACTCACCCACCAGTGCACACAGACACTGTGGGCAAGGTGGGTTAAGTGTCTTGCCCAAGGCAACAACAGCAACATTCATCTGTGGAAGCTGGAATCACACCAGCCAACCTGTGGGTTAGTGGATCTGTGATGTGTTTTTTTTTTTTTTTTATGTCAAGAGCTGGAATCAAACCACCAACCTTCAGATCAGTGGGCAAATGCTCTGCCACCTGAGCTACTGCCGCCCCTGAAATGGACAAACTAACAAAACAAAGAAACAAACAAACATGTGTGTGTTGTGTGCATGTTTTAAACCAGGGGTGTCAAACTTAAATTTACAGAGGGCCAAAATTAAAAACTGGGACAAAGTCGTGGGCCAAACTAAATATTTATTCAAAAATTTCAACAACATCTGCATGTTTTCTCTTCTTTTGAGATATGTAATGTTAAATCCTTTCTTATTAAAATAAATGTTTAATAACAGTTTTGCTTAAACATTGAATCCAGAACAAGCAGAATATAAAATAATAACAAAATTTTAAATAAATAGTCTCTATAGCCTATCTGTAGCCGGAGGGCCAGTTTTAATGCATATTTTATATGATCTCGTGGGCCAAATATAATTGTATCATGGGCCAAATTTGGCCCTCGGGCCTGAGTCTGACATATCTGTTCTAAACGGAAACCAGGATCAAAGCTTGCACCGGGCCCATGGACACTAAAATGTTTTTATGCATCTAAAGCAATGCTGTTGGATTTACTTATATCACACAGACATGTGTGTATGTAAAGGATATATACATGTGACGTGCACATATAAAGAATACTAAGAACACATAAAGGACTTACTTTACACTATTCATGGATTTCAGGCATAAGGAGGCCGTTCTGATTTGATGGTTTTGGAATGACAGCAGTCCTTCAGTTACACAATTCAAAACTTTGTCTTTTAAAAAGGCAATGGTCCTGCCAAAATCCTTCAGATCAGGAAGGAATATTTGAAAGTGGTATAGTTGAAGAGACAAGGGTAATTTATAACTTTATAATTAACATTCATTTTAAGATTACGGTAAATAAATCATCATAAGTTTTTCATTCTCAACTGACATAACCAAATAAAGAAGAAGACATACAGCAGTCAATACATTGAGTGTTCTTGTCAAACCAGTATTTTTCTGTGTACTCATGCTACTGTTTCATGACGTAATATCACATGGTATCTGTATCTGTTCTTAATGTGTTGCACCACTCTTCTGTGAAACTAGAGTTACAAAGACAGGGACTTTTCAGGTCAAACAATAGAAGCACAGTCAAGGTAGCACATTAAGTAAGGCTTAGTGGAAGTTGTGTTTGCTTACAAGATTATATTTACAACTGTTATTGTAATAACACAAAAGTATATCTCACGACAGCTGGTTCTATATTAAGTTATGGTTTGTATGTTTGACCTCAAAAGGAACCTGGTGTGATCTGAAATTGTTTGGGAAGTCAATAAATCATAATATGTCCATAATATATCAAAAAGTATGAATAAACACCTATTTAGTATATCACGTTTTATTTATTTAAATTCAAATACTTCTCAAATACTTTTCTATAAAATATAAAAACGTGAATAATTTAAAAAACAAAACAAACACAAAACTCTGGCGTAGGGTCCTCAGCTGTGTAGATGTCTGTGATATGCTTGATCAAGTCATTTCCCTGGTGTCATTTGGTTTTGCTTGATTAATATTGCAGCTCAGGCAGATCTTTTTAATGAGTGTTCTATCACTGGGAGATAGATTTGGAGCACACTTTCACACGATGCCAGAGCAAACAAAGATTTCATATGAAAAGAGGAGATCTAACCTGCCATGCATACAGAGAGCTGTTGGAGGAAACTCCAGAATGTCACCAGCACAAATAGTTTTTATTATACTAATAAAGAGCACATCTTTAGAAAAGCCTTGATAGAAATGATGCCATTGTAGCCCATTGTGAGTCTTCTGAGACTCAGCTCCAGCCTGTCATGGGCCATGTAAATGCCAGCTCAGAGGCAAACATGGAGATTAAGAGAGGAATTCATCATCATAATAGTTGAAAAATGGGGCGAAGTCTCCCTTTACAGTGCTCTGAAGCATAGCATGGCTGTTTATCACACTGGGAAGATGTTTGGGTGCCTCCTTCACGTCTGCTCCAGGCCCTTTAGCAGATTTAGCTACATATGCACGTTCTCTTCAGAGCACGTCAACATTTCTCACACACGCTAATGAGGTAAACAGATAGCTTTTGTTTCTCCTCACACTTTTACTGTTCTTGTAGTGCTCATGATTTCTACACAGGCTACACAAACGGGCCCGGAGCAGCAAATCAAATCTTCAAATCACAGGATGATCACAGCCCATGCAATAGTACAACCAAACGCGTAAGGCAGGACACTTAATATGGGGCAATTGAAGTCATGTCATAGCACATTTGTTTTTCTGTCTATGGGTTTCAGAATGAAGAAAATTTAGGACCGTTGCCATAACAATTAACAATTCCAAACAAAATATTGTATCTTTTGAATAATCAACGGCCCTCAAGATGGCAGCATATAACAGGATGCTGAAACCCAGGAATATTTAGAAGCAATGACATTTTGGATTACTTCTAAAAAAAATTACAGAGGCAGTTACAATGTCACGCGTACAATTAATAATCAGTTCTAATTACTGCATGGTGAAATCCACAATACTTGTTAATGTAAATGTTTCCTATATTAAGATTACACAGGCTCACTCTCTTAAACCTTCTGATGTTGGATAGAAGATTTTCTGATCAACTTTTTAATATTTAATTTTCACTTTTCAGTATGCCAATGGTTTAAACATTAAATACATAAAGCACAAAACAAGAGGCCATTTGAAAATACTCAAGATAGTTTATTAGTAGACACTCATCAATCAGAGGAATGTCATCCTGAAAACACCATTTGATTGGCAGTGTAAAATAAGGCAAATGGTTTAAGATCATTTGTACACTTCTGCACTGACAAGAAACACATATACATTCACTTATATGCGAGTTTAGCCCCAAATCAACCCCGTGTGCCAAGGAAACCATAGTAATGAGTGCTCTATATGACCCCATGACCAGAACACAGTTTGTTTCTCAGGATACAGCATCACACAAATCATCAGATCAGATCATCAAAGACAGGAGGAAGAAAGCAATAGCAAGCTCATTATATAATGTGTAACTTTAAACCACTTCATTGTCAAAGTACTGTTGTAGTATTTGGTCACATAAAGTACATTTTCAGTGAGTTTCAGAAGTACACAGTTCATTCCTAGCACCAAAAGATCAAAAAGCTATTTGTTTGCAGCGTCTGCCATCATTCACTAAACCATTGAGTATATTTGATGAGTTGTGTGTAAATTTAGAACAAAGTGAAGACAAATGCTTTTCTGTGTGTCACACACATATAGATGAAGTCATACCACGTAAAAAGCCTAGGTCTGTGTGTCCTAAAATATTTCATAAAGCCTGAATAAAGCAAGAGAAAATGAAGTTAATAATTAATGTCATTTCTCTTTTCCTTGTGACTTACGATGTCTGATTTAATAATAAAAAATCATATAACTTACATTTGTATTGCACTTTACAAGCTTGACTACCCCTCAAAGTGCCACACTGTAGTCATTATATGTTCACTTCACACTCTGTAAGGGTAAATTACTTTTGTAGCCACAGCTAGCCTGAGGCAGACTGACAGAAGCAAGACTGCCAATCTGAACCATCTGCATCTCTGGCCACCACCAATCACTCATCACATTCTCCATAGCCTCCATCCCAGTTGCATGTACCTAAAAGTGTTTTCTTTGAACAAAGATTAAAACAGACATGTAAGAGGTCTCTCACACAAAGAGAGACTTGGACAGTGGTGAAGCTTTGCTTAACATGTCTTAAGCAGAATGATGTCTCCTGTTGTATGCAGCTTGTCTGTACAGGGTCAGTAAGTCAAAAGACATAACAGCCAGTAAGTAAGGAGCTCATTTCCAAAACTTTAACATAGTCAAATTTTTCCATTTTGTTTTCAATGGTGTACAAGTTATTTTAATTATCAAAACATTTTGCCAGAGATCCTTGAGAGTGATTGGCAGCTGGTGGGTTTTGTTTTGGAAATAAAAACTCTTTAGTTACATTACACAAGTATCATTTAAGTAATAAAACATGTGACGTCAAAAAGCAAAGAAACATAACTTCACAGAGGAGCACTGAATATATAGAGATATATATATATATATTTATATACTTTAGAAAGTCATAGAAAAATATATTCATTTAAATGCCCATTGTACAGTTTTACACAGTAGTATCAGAAAAAGGATGATTGAAGAGGATGTAGGAAAGATACAAAGAGGACAATGTTTATGAGTCTTGCAATCAAATCTAGATCAACACATATTGTTATCTATAAAAGCCATAGAGAGAGGTGTGAGAAGAATAAAGTGACAGGTAAAAAGAGGAATGCTACAATTAGTGTAGAAAGCTTTTAGAAGGGCAGCACTTGACACAGTTTGAAAGATTTATACTATGGATATAGATTCAATATAGTAAGGCTTATGCTTGATAAGCATAAGAAGCAGCTTAGTAAACCACCATCACAATATATATGTATATATATATTTGTATTAGTACTACGCATTTACACAGAGGTATACTAATGCTGAACTCACTGTGAGTCACACAGCAACAGGTCATGTATTCATATTTCTATATCATTCTATTTTCAGAACAGATCAGTGTATCAGGAATGCTCCTAAATGTTACTTAATGTAATTTACATTAATTTACCAATATAATGTGATACAACCTGGATTATTCACATTGGTAACTAATGTTTTATAGTATAACCTATTTTAAGAATAAATGTAGTTTTTAATTACAAAACAGAACACATTTCTGTTTCAGCCATGCTAGCAAATGCTATTTGACTCACAGTGAGTTTCAATTTAAAGCCAGTTGAACAACAATACAGTTTATAAGCATACAGTTTCAGAACCCAATTGCATTAGAGAGAGAGAAAGAGAGAGAGAGAGTGCACAATTGCATTTCGGACAGTAGACATAATATTAGTACAGTTATACCACATAATAAACCATTTGATAATATAGTCTGGGCTTTAGGAATATCTAACCAGTAGTTTGTCAGCTGTGAGAAAGTTTGGCTTACAGGAGATGTAACAACTCATGATGTTGTGGAATGTGACTGTGATTGGATAGAACTCTACATAAAGTTTCAGTGTATATCCTTAAAAGGCTTGGAATAGTTAAACATCTGGTAGTCCATGTAGTAGAAGTCATACACCCGCTGCCTCTGCCATGGACTGACCTGTGCGAAATATTTCTCTGTGATCTCACTCGATGTCTTTTGGTCTTTTGGGTTCCTGTCTTTAAATTGTGGTAGCGTCAAATTCCTTGGTGCCTTCATAACTCGTAATAAAAAGTTGGACTCCTCTTGCATGTTCTCAAACTTGCCTATAAAGTTGTAGTCTATGAGACACGGGTGGCACAGATTGTCTACTAGGTTCCAGTGAATGTCCATTCCAACGGGCCTGTGCACATCCAACAGGTACTGAACAAACTCTGTGAATGTAACACCGTCCCCCGAGCTCAACGCCTCTGGAGAAGGGTGAGTCCTGTATTTGGCAATAATAGGTCTCCCATAAACAGTGTGGTAATGTTTGTTGGGATTCTCAAACTTGTCCCTGTATGCAGAAACCAGTCTTTCCATAGGTTCCCGAGCAAAAACAACTTTAGTGTAAGTTTGAAGGCGTCTCATGATACCACTGTAGTCAAAACTGTCCAGCTTTTTCAGATGGTTTTTATAGTGGACTGTGTCATGTGAGAGAGACCGCGCATCAGAGGCTATACCTGCCAAAACCATCAAAGTCCTCTTCCAGTTGGAGCAGCCAGCTTTGGGCACCTCACAGTACAGGAGCTTGTACCTGTCCTCCACATAGATCATTCGCACATGCTCCCGAGTGATAGTTCTGGAGGTGTGGCTTTTGTACTTGGCGCACATGTTCCTCATCAGCTCCCTGCGCGCCTCCAAAGTCCGAGACAGTTTTGACCAGTTTTCTGCAACCCCCGAGGAGGAGGATGGGGAGGAGGGGGAGGAGGGGAGGGGGGTACGCTGTTGGTATGGTGGAGTTGCGGTCGGGTTTTAAAAGTCTTTCTGGATTTAGGGGTAACTGTAAGCAGTTCGAACACTTGCTTTGTTGATCTGTGTTCAGCAGGTAGTTTACTCCTCTCAAAATGTGGAAACTGCATTGGAGGGATTGGACTGGAGGAGTTGTGCTCGTCTGTGAGGTGGTCTGTGATGAGGTCTGATTTTTCTCCATCCTTGTCCTTTGTGGAGAGGGTCTGCCAGAACAAAAGTAAGCAAATCATTAAAAAGTCATTAGGCTAAGGAAGATTATTAAACACTGAGAATATCTGATGCAGTGGCACTTGTTCAGGTGTAATGAATTCAAGTCCACAATGCCTGGCCTCATTAGCTGTGCACCTGCCGCATCTTGTAATATGAACTCTCTCCACTTGGTGGTGCTGTTTGGTCATATCATGTAACAGAAAGCTATAGCTCTATACTGCTTATGGTGTCTATAGTGTACATATACTGAATTGTAAAATCATATAAATGTCTAATAAACACAAAATGAGGGATCTAAATTATACTCATCGACTGCCCGATTACATCAGATAATGCTCCAGGCCATTATGTATTCTGACATTTTATTTCAATTATAAGCTGTAATGGCATCATGAAACCAATGAACTGGATGTGTAATTTTAATTTTACAACAGACAAGGTAATAGGCCCTCTATGAATCTCACCCTGACTGTCCCCCCTGACTTAAATGGACACATAACTTCATGTACATGGGCTTAGAAAGGGAGTGGGGGCAGTGGTTCTCCCTCCTCTGTTTAATGTGCAAGGTGAATGTTGCCCTGTAACCTACAGACAGCCGCTCCTCAGGGTGTTCATCAGGGTGAAGGACCCAGAGCCACGGATAGATGCAGCTTTGTACAACTCACACACAACCCTCTGCCCTTTTCATTGCTGCGTCCACACAGTACAGATACACAACTCTTTGAAACTTGCAAGGGGCTTCTATAGGCCCAAGGTACAGGTGCCAGAGGGGCACAACCAACAGATTTAAAAGTGAAGATTTAAAGATGCTTTCTTCCCTTTTGCTGTCAGACTCCTAAACAGTTGAGCTGGTTATTACTTTTTATACGGCATTTAGTGTGGCAAGAAAAAAAAAAGAATCTCATGATAGAAGGGAATCATTTTTTAATTACTACACATATGACAATTAACACTTTAAAAAGTTTGAGTAGAAGCTCTGAATGTGTCTAGTTATTAGAACCATCCCCACAGCTGTCTGTGGTCAGCCTGCTTGTGCAGATCCTATCTGACTGAGAGCTACAGGGCTGACACTCACCCCTTTGTATCAGATAGCAGGTGTTAGTAACGCGTATAAGAAGAGATAGCGTAATAAAGTACCTCTCTGGACTGCCGTGGAGTGCTTCTCTGCTTCACACCTGGAGATAGAAGAGAAAACAAAATTAGCACTTTGTCAACAACTGCTCATTAGCAATTGGAAATGGCATGTGTATTGTTATGTGTGTGTGTGTGTGTGTGTGTGTGTGCCAAAACCCGGTTCCCATTGTCTATGCACTACAACCTACTATCCTCAGCCAGACACAGGTGAATAGACCAAAAACTGGGTCATCAACCAACCATTCCTTTATGGACAAGAAATAAGTCTATAACAATGTGGGCTCCATGCAGACCCAGACGGACACATTACACATTACATTACATTGTATCACTATTCAGTGAGTTGTCAGTGGAGAGGGAATGAATACAATCAGAATAATTAAAACTCTTTTCTAAAACAATGCTTGTCTTTGTGTTCTTTGTCTCGTAACAAAGAGCCACAGCTCAGTTCTAATAATGTGTGAATGCCAGAGCAATGATTCAACATTGGTTGTCAGATGTAACACACCTGGCTTACATACAGTTTGAATAATTTAGTAACTTTTCAATACTTCTCACAACACAACAGTTGTTCAAGTCTAGCACCAAACTCCACACACGATCTGTCACCAGTGAGAAGTTGGTAACTATGGCGCCTATACTAGCAGCAGGGACAAAACAGCTGCTGACTTAAGTCGATGTGTTATTTGGTGAGAGAAGATTGAAAGTGTTCAATTGTGAGCGCTGATGGAAAGCCCAGATTGGTGTCCGTGGTGACAGGTGCGACAGGTGGGATGCGTACTGGCAGATGTGCGGCAGCAGCTCAGACGATGTGTTTAGTGCTCTGTCTGCAGCTGGACATTTCCTTTCCTTCAGCCTCATCCCAGTACACCCCCCCAACACACACACACACAAACACACCCCGCCCCCGCTGATATGTAATCAAGCTGACAGCTCTGAGTGGAGACGCACGGACACCGATCGGGGGGGCACACAGACACCTCCGCCTGAGTGGCCTGTCACTTCCAATTTGACAGTGGAAATGATGTGAATCTGCACTGGGGGGGTACGAGGGGAGGGGGGCTTGCTGTAGAGGCAGGCCGCAACCTTCCCTAAGTGATGAGATCTGCACGGCCCTATCTCGCATTAACAACGCTCCGGTGGGCAGTGGCAGAATCTGTTGGTGCAATGCAATGTTGTTTTAGATTAGTATTCGCTGGGAAGCCCGTGTCGCTGTCTGGCTCGCTGTTGATTCGCTCTTGTCTTCATTCTTCTGAGGTGCAGACGCTGGGCACGAGAGGTATAGCGGAAAAATAAAAAGACCAGAATAAGGAGGCCGCTGGTGACATTTTCTAATCTTGTTTGGCTGCTTCTGCTGTTTGATCCTCTAACCTTAATGATAGTTCATGTGGGGGGCCGGTATCTATGAAATCAGTGGGTACGACAGCCATGAATATTTATGTTAATACACGCGGGTGCTTTTGCCAGAGGAACACATCCAAGTGCAACAATAATAGCGCTCTTTCATTGACTGTTGTGCTGAACTTGATGAGGCAGAGCCGGCCTTTGTATCCCTGGCCATCTTGTCAAGACACAGACTTGTATATCGATCCTGAGAACCCCATCAAGGTGGTAATTGAAATCTCTAAAGGTCTAATTACTTCCTCCTAGAACTTTTGTGGTGGTGTACCAGTTGTTTTTGTTCTCACTGTGAATACGGCATGTCTGTTGTATGGAGTATAGAGGAGTTTTGTTTTTGTTATGTTGTGGCAGACGCAAAAAGTATATTTCTCTCACACAAAATATGCTTTTATTGTGAAGGGGCTTTGGGAGGAAGGTCCGCCTATGTATTTCAGTTCAAGTTCATTGGTTTTTGGCTGGAAGTCTATTAAAGCAGGGAGCCCGACACTTCCCTCTTCTCTTTTTGGCTAACTTCCACATTGGTGACCCTGACATTTGCCCACAATCAACAGAGTGATGCACAGTGAAGACTTTAAAATGAGGCATATAATGCGGCTGTATTTACTCCTACTCAAGTATGGGCCATCATTTTAAACACTATAAACAAACTCTTAATTTATAATGGTTAACAAATCGTTTATAAAGAATGATTCACACTTACTTAATTAAAGAACTGAAGAACTGAAGAAGCAGTTTGGATGAGTTGTGAAAACGTCTTCAACCAAACTAACCTTTGTCCAGTTGACAAAATGAATTTTCTTCTCGCCATACTTAATTAAAGATACACTGCGTAACTTTTCTAGTGTCACTGGGGAGACAGCTTGTCAAGGTACAAATCAGATCTATGGAGTCAGTTAATGGAGACAAGCACATACAGCACATTTCTAGCATCCTAGTTATTCACTATAATGACTTCCAAAGCTCTTTTCACTACTTTGCCATCAGCAGGACCAAATGTTCTATTAGATACAGAACACTGTGGTTACTACAATTAGTAATAAAATCACATTATGAAAAAAACAACAACCAAAAAACAAAACAAAAAACATTAATTTAGGGAAAATGTGGTAAAATGAGTCCCTAAATCAAAAATGAGTTCCTAAATTCAGGCAAATATATAAAGCTGTTTTTCAGAAAAAGCACCCATGGTTTTCAGGACTCTTGTTGAAGAGATGGTTTTAATAAATTTGACAGACGCCGGCTAAAAAGCATGAAGATAAATTAATATAATAGATGTCAACATTTTGATAATGCAATAGGCTCTCGAGTGTGAAGCTCAAATTACATTTACAAGGGTGTTTTAGAGACAAACTGAACAAAGTAATAGGACAGTGTAAAGTGGATTTCAGGGGATTTGTAAACATCATTCATCTCTGTTGTATCTATTTGGTGGAGGCTAATAGTTGCTGTTTGATTGCAATTTCACACTCAGTCAATTCCACTCAGTAGAACTATGCTATTGATTTTTACTGCTGTGCACCGAAACAGTGATGAATTGTTAAGACGGTGGTTTGATCCCTGGAGATACTGAATATTCTGCTCCCTAATTCCTCAAGAGCCCAAGACATGAAGCTATTATTCAAAGTAGGTGTTTGCCAAAAGTGTAGAAATGATTATACTGAACAATAATAAAAAATAAGTTCAATCAATATATTCCAAGTAGGAGTAACAATGATTTTAATAAAAATAGCTGATAGTATGCCTGCTTGTTCTCCATCTAGATATTTCAGTACGTTATCCAGTGTTGGTAAGTAACAAAAATACATAATCAGAATACTAATTTTGATTAACTGTAGTCTGGTACAGCAGCTTTTTCATTTGGTTCATTTGGTTTCATTTTATTCAGAATACAGCTACTTTTCTAAAATCATGAATACATCAGGGTATTTGATCACACAAGTTAGGCTTCAAACTGCACGGAATTAGTGAAAAAGTAGAAAACACTGCTCTTATAAAAGTTTTCCTTCCCCAATCAAATAAATGCATAACAAACAGTGAAACAATTTTTTTTTACACTATAATACAATGCATTGTGAATGTGTTACAGACATTTTCAGTGTATTCTTCCCAACACTGGGATATTTACAACACTTTAATCTGCTCACCATGGCTCTTCTCAGCAACCTAATGAAACTGTATGTAACCTGCTCACTTACTGTTTCAAAAAAAGAACCACAATCACAAGTGAATTAAATTGTTTAACGCCTTAAATTGCAGATAGAAGCACATACAAGTTTTTTCTAATTCTCAGTATATGGACATCATGTAACTTAACTCAGAATTACCTCACTGGCTGCAGGCGCTGGTTTAGTAAGGATTCAGATCACTTTATGGATTAAAACCCACTGGATTTCAGCACCAAACGCATGTGAGACTCATTCTGTGTTCTGATCACTTGCTTGGATAATCATCTGGAGAATTGATCACAGAAATCATCACAAACAATTTGGCCATCATGTGCAATCTATCCATTACATAACTAAGAATGTATCAGCAATAAATAAGGTATAAAGGTATATTTGATTTGAACATGTTTACCTCGTATCTGGGAACACAGGTCAATGTTTCTTTAAAAAATACAGAAAATCATCCAAATATGGCTGCCCACTGCTCCTGACAGTTTGCCCCAACAGCACTGTGGTTTTATTTTACTTTCATTTGCATTTTATACAGCAAATTTTATTAAGTGAGTGTATAAAATGTATTAAAATGCACATAGTTTAATTTAATTCCTTTCTTTAGGCACACATTTTCAAATTTTGGGTGCACACATTTGAGTTAATAATATCTGAATGGTTTACTTGTAGCTGTTATTTTGTTTTGAGTTGCTAGATGAGAGATCTGGGCAGGAGGAGGAAAGTCCTTATATGGAGGGGGCATACATTTAAGTTTAGTTTTGCTCATTTCGCTTGCCTAGTTTGTTTAAAGTTTCTGTATTATCACTGTTATTATTGTCTGTATAGTTATAATGGTTTACTCTATTGTTACTTTGACTGAGTTAGAAGTGTTACTTTATCTTCTAGTGTAATACCTCCCTCTTGTGTTCACTTTTTGGGTTAGTCCTCTTGTATTTAAACGCCTCTGTTCTTTTGTCTGGTTGAGTAATTTTTTGTTGTTGTTTGTTTTGTTTTATTCTGGTTAAGTTAACCACAGTTGGGCCAGATTTTTGTTAAATATTATTTGCCTTTGCTAAATAATATTTTTTAACTTTATTAAACTGAAACTTATTTTTACACCTTTGTCCCTGCCTTTCTGTTTGATCCATTACAAGCACTAAAGAAAGGGTCACATACAAAAGACACATTTGTATTGGGTTAATAAAGTAAGCCTTATACATATTACACCCCAGGCTCAAGATTCTGATGAGGGTTCGCAGTTTACCAAATTACAGCAACAAATTATGACCTCAAATTATCTTTTCAAACCAGACATTATTATTCACTATCTTCCCAGCGATAGCCTAAATTTAGTTTTATTTCTTAGCTTCAGCCTGATTTTAAGAGCACCCTCTTGTCCTGTGATGCCCTCCACAGTCACCTTGAGCAAGCCCTTTCCTGCTTGTGAATATTCATGTGAACAGCCCAGAATTACCACCGTGATC